TCTTGTCTCTCTAACTGTGGAGAGCATACATCGTTGTAACAGGCTCGATCAGACGCCGGTGCCCGTTACTTGGTGACAAGATACATAGCCATGGCGCGTTCATTTCCAGAGCATAAATATCTGGCATTGGGCCCTCGATATCCTACTTTCTCTCCTCCTCACTCTCATCATCATCATCATCATCTCTCTTCCTTCTTCTCTTACTTCTTCCTCTAACCAATAAACCCTTTTCACAACCGCCAAAATGGTAAGCATTCCTCTCCATCTATATTTCTATATCCTCTTGAGCCTCAACTTACACGTCAAACAGGTCAAGGTTCTTGCAGTTCTCTACGACGGCGGCCAGCACGCCAAGGATGTATGTTTTTACCACTTTCTTTATTTCAACGCAATTCCTCTTGATTCTTTATCAACTATCTCCAATGGTCGTTGATTCTGCCTTCAACTCTCATATCTACCGACAACCACAAACAACTCCCCACACACCATCCCTCCGCGCTTGTCGATCTCAAACGCGGGGAAATGGTCTCACTACATGAGAATCAGCCACATCCAGCCCGATGATGCGGGGCAACGTCTGGGCAACATGCAAAGACATCGAGAAGTGACAGTTGGGTGGCATTATATGGCTTGTTCCACTCTTGTGGTATACACTACAAGGGTCTGAGCAACAATGCAACCCAACTTACACCCAATGTCTGAACACTGCACCATCAACCCCTCAATCACTCTTCAAATCACTTCTCCTCAGCCAATTGGTTTTATGGCGACTAACGTGTCTCATAGCAACCCCTCCTTCTCGGTACCACTGAGAACGAGCTCGGTATCCGCAAGTGGCTCGAGGACCAAGGCCACACTCTCATCACCACATCTGACAAGGACGATGAGGGTTCTACCTTCGACAAGGAGCTCGAGGATGCTGAGATCATCATCACCACTCCCTTCCACCCTGGTTACCTGACCGCTGAGCGTCTTGCTCGCGCCAAGAAGCTCAAGCTTGCTGTCACCGCTGGTATCGGCTCTGACCACGTCGACCTCAACGCTGCCAACAAGACCAACGGTGGTATCACCGTTGCTGAGGTCACTGGCTCCAACGTCGTCTCCGTTGCTGAGCACGTTCTCATGACCATCCTCGTCCTTGTCCGCAACTTCGTCCCTGCCCACGAGCAGATTGAGGCCGGTGACTGGAACGTTGCCCATGCTGCCAAGCAGGAGTTCGATCTTGAGGGCAAGGTTGTCGGTACCGTAGCTGTCGGCCGCATTGGTGAGCGTGTCCTCCGCCGCCTCAAGCCCTTCGACTGCAAGGAGCTCCTCTACTTCGACTACCAGCCCCTTTCTCCTGAGAAGGAGAAGGAGATTGGCTGCCGCCGCGTCGACACCCTCGAGGAGATGCTCGCTCAGTGTGATATCGTCACCATCAACTGCCCTCTCCACGAGAAGACCAAGGGTCTCTTCAACAAGGACCTCATCGCCAAGATGAAGAAGGGTTCTTACCTCGTCAACACTGCCCGTGGTGCCATCGTTGTCAAGGAGGACGTTGCTGCCGCTCTCAAGTCTGGTCACCTCGCCGGTTACGGTGGTGATGTCTGGGACCACCAGCCCGCTCCCAAGGACCACCCTCTGCGAACCGCCAAGAACAACTGGGGTGGCGGTAACGCCATGGTTCCTCACATGTCCGGTACCTCTCTGGACGCTCAGATCCGATATGCCAACGGTACCAAGGCCATCATCGACTCTTACCTCTCTGGCCGCCACGACTACAAGCCTGAGGATCTCATCGTTCACCAGGGTGACTATGCCACCAAGGCCTATGGTCAGCGTGAGAAGAAATAAATGTATTGAGAGAATGGAAGAAATGATTTGTACATGATGATGAATAGTTTTACAACAACTGCATTATAGACGCGGGTCAAAAGCAATCAGCGTTGCAGATAATACAATTTGTTAAAGTTCTACCTCCTTTTGTCTTTTGCCTTCAGTGATCCTAACAATGTGCCATGAAAAGCCTCGCTCGAGCTCTTAAGCTCCCAATTATTTCACTTGATAATCTCCATTAAATAGCATTAATAAGGTTGGCAAAGGCTAAATTTAACCTGAACCTTTCAACATATGATAAATACCTACGTAGAGAAAAAAAGGATAATTGATATAGCACATATAGATGAAGTACCTTTGTCAAAAGAAATACTATGTGTTCTATCTTTTGATTCTCCTTCTTGGTTCCTATAATCACCCCAACAATGCAGCAGGCATCGGGCTGCCTGTGCACGTCAACAGCCATTTTACACATTCACTCACAATGACTACCGCCAAAATGAAGCCAAGCAGAAATGTTCTACTGTTCTTAGTCTTTTACTTTGCTATTAATACAAAATTTCTCGCTATTTTTGGTATGCTTCGTTATGAGCCATCAAGCGCTATATGGCTGACCATAATTTTACCATTCATGACATGAATTCGTTGCCAACTCTCCCAATCCATGCTATATTTTCTAATCATCTCCAGAATTGCCACCACTTCTTTTCCTCGCTGGGTTGTCCTCTCCGTCTCAAGACCTGCTCGTCTCGTCCTCTAATGCGCCAGAAATAAACAGGCACACCAGCTACCACGAAGAATACGACGGCGATGGTCTGGAAAGGCTGTGCAAAGACAGCGCGGCTGAGGAGGAAGAGACTAACGCAGCAAAAAATAATAGGCGTCGTGATCCAAGTCTTGTACGGTCGTACAAGTCCCGGCTCTCGCACGCGTAGGATGATTAGACCGAGGACTGTGAGGAAATAAAATGTGTAGCCTGCAACGCCATAAAAGGTGACGAGAGTGCTGAACTCGCCAACAATCACGTAACCAACTGTGAGAACAGCGTTGAGAATGAGTGCATAGACTGGCGTGTAAAACAGTCCAGCATCTTCATCGCCGAACATTCTGCGCATCTTGCGCGTGAACCAACTTCGTGTACGCTGCGTGCTGAGCTCGTGCTCGTGTGGGCTGCCCCCAATACCAATAGTGCCAAAGATCGAAGGAATGTAGCCCTCTTTGCCAGCTACATATGCCAAACGACTGGAGGTGAAAGTCGAAGAGTTGAGGGCACCGAAACAACTGGCACTGACGATGAGTGCGAGAATGAGTGAGCCTACGGAACCAAACACTCGGTTGCCAAACATGACAGCTACTGTGTTGGACCCATCCATGCTCTCGAGAGGTAGGACAAGGAAGTAGGCGATGTTAGCTAGCACATAGCAGAGGATGACCAGAGGCATGGCTGTGTGAATGACTCGGGGTAGGTCTTTAGTTGGGTTCTTGAACTCCCCAACGACGTAGTTTGTCTAGACTATGTCAGTTATCGAGACTTGCAAACTTGACTGATATTACTCACATTGTCCCAGCCATCATATGCCCAAAGACCGGCATAAAGGGCAAGAGCCCAAGCAGACATGTCGGTCGATGTGTTTTCAAACAGCTGATGCGGCTTCCACTCAACTTCCGATTTGCCCTTGAGCGTCTTTCCTGTGATGGCAACGACAACACCAGTGACGGTGACGCCCAGTAAAGCGATAAATTTCATAAACATGAGCGTATCGTTCACACGCGTGCCGAGCTTTGTAGACACACAGTTCAAGAACGTTACAATGAACAGTCCTACAAGCGCAACAGCCTTGTTGATCCAAGGGCTTACATGCTCAGCGTCAGGACCGATGAAGGCTCGAACAAAGTATTCGCCCATGATGATGGCGATAATAGCGGCACTACCGGGCTTAAGGACCAACATGGCAACCCATGTAAAGAGGAAGCCTATCACCTCGCCAAATGTCTTGGCCAAGTAAACTTGAGCGCCGCCATTGAGAGGAATCGCTCCTCCGAGCTCAGCGTAGGACGCAGCGCCTGTCCAAGCGAGTATACCCGCGATAATCCAGACGAGTATCGCTGCACCTGGCGACCCAACTCTTGTGCTCACAGATCCTGGCGACGAGAAGATTCCTGAGCCGATAATGAGTCCCACTATCAGCGACAATCCGTTCAAGTATGTCAAAGTCTTGTTTTTCTCCAACGACCCTCCTCCCAAGCCGCCGCTCGGCCTCGATCTTGATGTTGGTGCTCCAATGGGAGCGTAACCTTCGGCACCAGCCGTCGAGCTTAAAGGGAACATATTGGCGGAGAAGTCAAAAGCTGAGGATACTGAATACGATCGATTCATCCTGTTTGCAGGATTGGCACTGTCCAGGGGGTCATCTTGTTCGAGCGACAGTCTCCGCGACGACGATATGCTGGGCCTCGAAGAGATCTCTGTAGCCCCCTCTTCGTTGAGCTGACTTGAGCTAGCCAAGGAAGCGAGTTCCAGCGAGTCTCTCATATTCGACGGGAGTCCGTAAGGCGGCGCCATTGTGGTGTATGTGTAGTTGTCCTTTCCCCCTCTTCCCAGCGACTAGTTAATCGACCAATCCGCCAAAATCGAGGAACCACGAGTATTCAATTCGAGTATTTCGGCTGTTAAAGACCAATGCGCATAGCGGTTCGTCGTCGCGCAAACTTGAAATGAATGTGTTGAGCGATCGGCAGCCGAAGGATGTGAGAAAGCAAGATCTGTGACGTAGAGATCTCGGTGGTCGGTAGTTGTTTTGAAGTCTTTTTGAAGCAGTCGAGATTGAAAAGATGGGGTATAAAAGCACAATTAAGAAAGTATTCGTATTCGTCAATAATTGATTGATTGATTGATTGATTGCTCATGAAGTCTCTTTCCATTCAATACCAAAAAGGGGCAATGTTTGCTTCGTTATAGTGGAACAGGACAAAGAAAGAGGGCCAAGTTGAAAAGATAGGAGTCGGCTTTACCCAACTCATCACAAGGAAGCTTCTTTGTCAATGCAAGTGCTGCTTCGCTTTTCCTTTCCGCGTATGGATCAGAAACACATTACCAGTCTAGCCCAGCCCCTTGCTCTCTTCAGTGGGGCCCAGCCACTCGCACCGCCACATATTGCTTACCTTAGTCACTCGTTCATGATTAACGTCAAGTCCATGATCATCGCGTTTCCGACAACCCTTCTCAAGCACCATAACACCATGGGCTCCGACGATTATGCTGCTGTCGGTGGCGGTGGCGCCCTGAAACTCAAAGGCGCCAAAATACACAAGAAAAAGAAGAAGCGCGACAAGACCGATCTTGAAAAGAATCTCGATACTGGAAACAAGGACGAAGAGAAGAGAAAGAAGAAGGATAGAGAGGAGCAAGAGCCCCACGATGAGGATGATGAGGACAAACCCGAAGTCCAAAAGACGGAGGCTCAAAAGCGCCACGAAGAGATAAAAAAGAAGAGGGCAGGTCTTTCATTGCCTTCTATTGTTGATATCATGCTAACAAGTCTATAGCTGCTCAAACTCGCTGAGTCTTCAAGCTCGCGACCAGAACTTCTCAAAACACATAAGGAGCGTGTCGAAGAACTCAATACTTACTTGTCCAGATTGAGCGAGCATCACGATATGCCCAGGATTGGCCCCGGTTAAGGATATCAGGACAGAAGGTTGAGTTGGTGGCGAATGTGTGTAGGCGGATGGACGGGAGTTGTTGGCGCTTCTGGTTATACCCTCGAATTAAACAAATATCCCCAAAATGCTATCTGTTGCATTGATCTACGGCATTATCAGAACCAGTCACCTGGAGGCGCGTAATGTTCACCCCTTGCTGGGCTGAAAGAACCAAAACCCTGTGTCAAGGAGTAAAGGTCAAGACCATTACGCACAAGATGACCACATCGATTTGCTTGGAAATAGGGAAAAGAAAATCGAATATGCAAACGCAATTGCTTGTATTCGCTCATGTACTATGCATTTTTAAATACGATCCATGTTCGGCATATATGCTGGACGCCATTAATGAACCAAATCTCCCCCAAGATACAACCGTATGTGGAAGTTGTCTATTGATTAATTCCGTCGGATGCTGCCCCCAAGTCTATTATCCTGATTTTATACCCGTGAAGAAAGGACCGTGATATTCATAAAGATGAACCCATTCTGAATTAACTGGTGCCCGCAACGGGACCACAAGTTCGTTCGTCACGGGATTCGCGTGACGTTTTCGCTGGATGCGAGGTAAGGTCAAGTGATCAATATTCCATTTACAGGAGAATGAAACCACCGAAGACCATACCCACGACTGCGGCAAGAACTGAACCGACGGATCGAGGAGCGGCATTCTGAAGGTCAGGGTCGCTGCCGGCAGTAGCTTCGGCCGAGGGAACAACCTCAACCCAAGAAGTCGAAGTCATGGTAGTAACGCCACCATCCTCAAGCGTAGAAGTGAAGGTCTTAGGCACAGCACTCGAAGTTCGTCTGGTACCTGTTCCGGTCACAGTGCTTCGGTCAGACTCAGTCTCAGTCGCGCTTTCGGCATGGTCTGAGGTTTGTGAAGCCTCGTCTGTCTGAGTTGCGGTTTCCTGGTCGTCTGTCTCAATGTTAGCATATGCGCTCAAATGGTAACCGTTTGCAAAAGTGTGTAGTCAACGCGGAGGCAATCAAGGGTCAAAAGACATTTTCAAGTTTTGGCGCACTTGCGATAGTCACGAAGTCAAGGCATCAGGTTGTGGAGATGGCACGAAACAGTAATATCACAACAGTTTTGGGGAATTGGATTCGCAGCAATGTCCCTGGAAAGAGCCCTGTTGCTGCTCGTCCGTCCCACATACCGGTGGTCGTCTCTGTCTCCTCTGAAGCCTGGGAGGCTGTTTCCGACTCTTGAGTTGGCCCGGAAGCTGACTCAGAAGTTAAGTCGGAGAGGACAGTGGTAGCTTCGGCGACAGTGGACGAGGGAACGGTGGCAGTTTCGATAACAGTGGAAGTATCATCAAGGGCGGTGGATTGAAGGGTCTCACCCGAAGAAGCCGTCTCGGACGGTAATTCAGAAAAAGAGGAGGTATCAGGCAAAGAAGTTCTTCGAGTAGACGTACTGGCAGCAGTGGAGGTTGCAGCACTAGGAGCAGAAGGATTGGAAGTTGAAGCACGAGAAGAGGGAGCAGTCTCAGAAGGTTCCTCTTCCGAAACGGACGTACCAGTGGCAGTGGCCTCGGAATCATCGGTGGTCGATTCAGGGGAAGAGTCCTCAGTGGACTCAGGTCGGTTCTCCGTGGTCCTGCGGGTGGTTCGCTGTGTAGAAGCAGCTGTGGATGCAGGCTCAGTAGGCTCCCCTTGAGATTCCGTGGCAGAAGGAGATGCTTCAGTAGCTGAGTCCTCGGTAGGTCGGGCAGTGGCAGAAGGTGGGCCTGTATCCGGGTTAGAGGTGGGTTCCTCAGGTTCTGAGCTCGCAGGACGCGAGGGTGAGGAAGGCTCACTGGTGGCAGATGGCTGAGTAACTGACGGTTGAGCCTGGGTGTTTGAGGCCTCATCTGTGGCGCTGGCCTGGTCGGTTGACTCTTCGGCGGTAGCGGAAGGCTGAACAGCAGTCTCGCTAGCCTCGTTCGTAGCAGTGGGTTGCTGTACGGTGTTTGAAGCACCACCAGAGGCTCCGCCTGAAGAGCCGCCCGAGGGAGCATTGGAAGCACCATCAGAAGCGGCATCGGTAGGGCCAGTGCCCTGCTCTGTATCGGTAGGTGCTGGTGTGTTTTGTCGTCGAACCATTTGGGCCATGGAATCGGAAAGATTTGGTCGATGAGCGTTCATGCCATGCTTTCCAACAACATCACCATGGCGGAGGTGTCCAGGGCAGAATCGGGTAGCACCTCCAATGGATGCTACACCGACGCCCAGAAGACAGCAAGCGGCCAAAGCAATCAAGGCCTTGCCAGCTGGGGATATCCTTCTGGTCCTTGTCCGTGGGATGGTCTGGGCAGATTCCGAATCCTGGAGTAGTGCTTCCTTTGACGACATGGTCCTCTCTTCTCGGTCAGTGCTCAACAATCCTGCCTCCATGCTGTAGTCGTTCTTGATGTCGACAGATGCCATGATGTAGAAGTGAGTGAGAAGGTTTGAAGGATGGGAGGAGGTTGAGTTTTGTAAATTGAGCAGGGTGATATCAGGCCCGAAGAAGACTGGAGACGGATATGCAGAGGACGTTTAGCGGCTGAGAATAGTCCAGAATTGCGGACCCAAGACAGATGGCAGCTTTTTTGGGTTTGCTATTTGGGGATGGTACGCGAGACGACTGGCTGAGAGCAGGTGGTGAGGTTGAGGAGGCGAGATCCCAGACGGTGAGTGGTGAAGACAGTGCAGCAAACAAGCTAGGGTTCAAGAACGTGCAGACGACAGCCGGCAAGAGGGGTGATTCCCTTTATCGATGATGAAGAGTGTCGTGTGCCAAGCAGACAGGAGGTGGCTCTAGCGTCCGAGAGAGGAGTCTGCTCGGTTCTATGAATGGAGACACAGCTTGATGATGAGAGGATGAGAGAAGCAAAAGGGACCAAGAAGCGAATGGTGTGCCGCCTGCCGGTACTGTAAGCAATTGACAGTCGACCGAGGCGTTTGCGGAGTGTGAGCGAGGGAGTGGAGGAAGTGGAGGAAGTGGAGTGATGGGTGTTACACGAGCTGAGTCCGTCACGTCAAACCAACTGCGAGATTGAACTCAAGATCAGGGCGAGGACGAGGAGAGTTTGGTGTTAAATGCAACCTGTGGTGGTCAATCGTGGGTAGATGAGGGGGATCTGTCCTGCTAAAAGCCCCGGGACCTAAATTAGTCTTGGCAGGAGGCTGGGCTGCAGACAACTATCACAATGGTCTAAGTCAGCTGTTTTCCTATTTGCTGCTGTGTCTTTGTTTTTGTCTGCTGAGTGGCAAAGGCCAAAGGCTGTTGGAGATCTAGACAAAATCGCTATGCGTGTTTCTTTTTTAGGCTTGGGAGGGAGCCGCTTGCAGTTTTTAACGACAGCCACCCGGGCACTAGACAAAAAGCTAGGCCTCGTCTAGCGCTTCTGTCGTCCCGCCAAGTTCAGCCGGCGGCCGGCTACACCTCCGTCTACTGGAAACCCAGTCGCAGAGGGAGGGTTGAGCACTGAGCAGCCCGGGGAGCCTGGAAGGGATGGGCTTTGGTGGAGTTTGGGTGCCCAAGGGCGGCTCAACAAGGCCTGTCTAGCCCTCATTTCTTGTCAGTAAACACAGTCCAAGACATGAGGCGTGCTGACTGCTTGACCTGAAGTTGACCAGAGATGAGCTGAAGCACTGGCTGTCTGATAACAAGGGCACAACTGCTCATTCTTGGAACATCCAATTGCTATAGAAACTTAAGAAAAGTTTCAGCCATTGTTTAGTATTGGCCGATACAAGCTGGGCCATCAACAGAAGTCGGTTGTCACAATTCCGATATGCCACCTTTGGTATGGTTGGTTCTTGGTTCTTGCTGCACAGGCGTTCAACTTCATCGCCATGTAATCAGTTGCACGAGTATTTTTGTCGATGGGTGCACCGTTGCCACATCCGTGACCCCCTGGTACCTGTCCTTCAGTTGCTCAGACGGCGGCGCCTCAATCAACCGTACGCCGCTAAGATACGAACCTTCATGAGCTTTGTGATGTCACTGTGGATGTAACGGCAGACGGACAGGCTTGTATAAGAGGAGCATTGTGTGATTGTCTCCGTATGAGCCCATCATGCTGCTCTTCGTATTCTTTAAAAAGCTCCTGAGACCCATGGGAAGTAGATTGACAGATTGGAGAGGAAGGGTAGAGTAGAAGGGCAACAAGGGGTGAGAAATCGCCTCGTTCCCAGGTGAATACGAGGATTCGCCATAAAAAACTGAGCATCGAGGCGGGTCAACATTCGGGCCCAAGTCATTGGTCCCAAGATGATGCTCTGTTTTTTTTTTTTTTGCCCGCATGGCCCCGATCCTCATTCCATGTTTGACCCACTTGATTAGTCCCCTGAACCCTGCCCCTGACCTTGGTGTTGTCTTTCCATCTTCACCTTCTCTTATCCAAGCCTTTCGGAGTGTTGATCGTGTCTTGCAACTTGGGGCCGCGATTATGAACACAATCAATTGACCTGGTCTGGCGATATGATCACCTCTGTGCAGCAGTGATGCATATCGACCATCAAGCAACTTGTCAGCGTGAAACTCGTTGCTGATGTTTTGCCATGAACCTTTGTTCTATGACACGCCCGGTTGAGACTTGTAATGGTTGCTCTTAATTGTCGTGATAAGCGACCAGGTGTGATATCTTTCAACTTTGAACTTGATTATTTGTGCCAACGTCTTTGTTCGTGTGACGGATCGACAAATTCACCAACTGCGATGACGGAGATGCGCAATATCAAACTGCAATACGATGGGGAATTTCGGTTGATCCTTATTTTTGGTGCTTTTTGTCGTAAGATGGAGTACGGAAACGTGCACAGTCCTTGTCTCCGGCGGCGTGTCCGTCCAAACGAAGCAAATTTTGGTGCCAAGCAGATATGATGTATGCAACCGGATCTGGCGGCTCAACAATTCTGTGTCAGAATTGTTGTTGACCGTTGATGATCAGTTTCTGCGAGATGATGCTCAGCCAATATCGTGTCATTCACAAAGCTCCACGCGGCCTATCTTGTTCTGGATACCTAGATTCCGCCAACGTGGACCAGTGCATCTGAAAAAGAGAATGGCTGGCATAGATGAAATTCTATTGGGTCGTATGCAACCATGTTTGCACTGTAACCTCAGCTGTAACGATTAACCAAATCGCTGTTCGAGTCACTACACCCAAACTCGGAGCATGAAACTCCAGTCTTTTGTGAGAGCAGAAATACATACTAACTAATTGTGTTTTTGGATGTCTCCTCTGAATGGCAGCAAGCCAGCACGCACTTACGAGATGATTCTTGGTTGTGAGACGCGCCAATGCAGCCATAGAGGCCTAGTATCAGTTGGTAGACCAACCAGAAACCACAATCAGACACAAATTGCTGTCAAAGTGCAACTGTCTCGAGACAAGCAAGTAGCAAGTTGGCTTTCAGGTTTTAGAGCCAACTCTGAACCAATGGGATTGCCAAGGTTCGGTTTTGAGCTATGACTTGCGGTATAAAGATAAATGATTGTATAGTCTGGCGATAGTTAGCAATGGCCAAATGGCTTGCTGTTGTTGAATCAGCGGATATAGTTTGTAGACCATTCATCTGACATAACCAACAAGGTCCAGTTGACGTATGTATCATCCTTGTAAATGCTGGACACCTTAGACTAGAGGGCCTCGGTACAGATTGCTGCACTGCCTGGCTGCCGGTGCTGAAGGTCCAGGATGGGCGTGGGGAGACAGCTCAGGGTCCCACTGGCTGAAGGTTGAATGTATGTCTAAATTTAGACCACTCGGAAGCCCCAGTGGTTCGATCCGCCAGACTTGCGATACGATCTGATTGATAGTGAGTGACACTCACTGGTGCTGTGAGCTGTCGGTATCATCATTACTGTTTGTTTTCTCGATATATCCATTTGTAAACGAGACAATTTTGTATGTTTTCTCTTCCCATGCACCTAGTAAAGAAGGTTGTGCATGTGATTTTGTTTCATTGCGGCTTTCTCCTGCTCTCCAAGGGATAGAAAAAACATTTGAGTTTGTTCTCTCAGACAAGGGAAGGAATCAAAAAGTTTATTAAGCAAGGAGAAATTTAGCGACGGCACTGGAATGTTGCAATATGAGGATTCAAAGGATATAGAAATTGGTAAGAAACATGAAGGGAGATATAGGATGAAAACAATTGGTTGGGTCTATCGAGCCCTTTAATTGTCATTGAATATTTACCTCATATAGGGTGTTTCTGTCAACTTCATCGACTCGATAGTGAATTTGTTGAAGGGGTTACCTGCATATGATATTGAGCCCCTCTAGGGGAGGCAAGAAAACTCGAAATCTTTAATGCTAAGTGATAAATAGACTTGAGTAAATCTGGTATATGCTTAGGAAGATTCTTGCCTAATTACTTTTAGTACTTGAACCCAAGGTCCAAAGTTTTCTTGCTCCCCAAAGCCACGATCGATTGACGTGGCTCGTGAGTGGCCGTGCCTTATGCATGCTGCTGACTGATTGAAGTTAGCTGACGAAACGCCCGATGGACAAGTCCACTGTCACATGTGGACGAGGACAGATGCTCGAGCTTCTTCCAACGAAATCGACGACGTGGAGATAACTCCACTGACAGGAATAGTCTCTGATTCAAATCATTCTCACTCTCGTTATTCATCAATTTGGTCCATTTGTTCGCGACACTCTCCTTGAAACGTGCTTGAGGCGCATACGCAGCCCTGTTGTCTTCCCATGATTGATATCGAGGTACCTTCAATACCCTCGTCATGACAGAACATCTCAGCCCCGACTCTTTAAATACCCTCGACCCCGACGAACAAGACAGCCTTCGAGTTCGATCGCGATCGCCTCACCCGTACCATCATCAGAATATAGACCTTCCGCATCTCTCAGATCGTTTTACACTGAGGAACCGCCAAGCGCAATCCGCCAAGACCGGTGACGATGCTCCCCACGAACCATCGCCTACGGCATGGCCAAGTTTTCTCAAGGACTCGCCGCAGACGAGCGACAGCGGCTCCGAAGCTGACGACGAACATTATCTAAAAGGCTTACCGGCGCCAAAAGCAAACTTGCACAAAGGATTAAGAGGTCTCAATGAACCGCTGTCTGGCTTTTCAACACCTCTTCCATCACCGGCGCTTCTTGATAGTCATGCCATTCGCACCGTAGACAAGCCGCCCATGCCTACCGAGACACCGGAAACGAAACGTCTGCTCGAAGCCCTCAAAAAACGAAGAAGAGTCGTTGTTCGACGCATAACTGAGGCTGGCATTGTTTTAGCGCTGGGTCTCATGGTAGCCTCAAATCCCCAGGTATTGCAGCTCATAAAAATCTGGGGAAAAGGTATGCGCATTGCCTTCCTTCTCATAGCTTTGAAATAACCATTATAGATATTCTACTCTGTGGTCTTGTATATGCGGGACTACTCGCTTTGTATCCTGTCCGAGTCGTCGCTTGGGCATACCGTAACAGGACACCATCTCACCCAATACCCCTCGAGCTTCCTGCGCACTTCGACCCCGCTCCCATATTATACCCTTCGGCGATTACTCTATATGTCTCGCTTCTTATTTCGTCAAGCAACCCAGCAGCGATTCTACCTAACCTTATTCTGAGCCTTGCTTCCATTCCGCAGAGCGTTATTCCCAAGGTCGATCCTTATGCTACATATGATGTACTAGCATGGGGCCTAACTTGCATTCCATTAATCTGGAGCCCAAAGCAGCGTGAATACTTCGAAAGCAAGCACCCGGAATCTTTTATTTCAGGAGAAACAGCTATTCTACTGTATCCTCTTCACCAAACTTTGTGTGTGACATTGCACTATCTCACTACAACTAGTCTCTTGACGGCTGAGCTCCAGCTCTTGTCAATCGCACTTATCAACGTTTTGCTTCTAGCTTCTTCACCCCAGGTTCTGATTCTCAAAGCCCTGTTGTGGGGTGGCGGTCTTTCTCTCCTATTCTTTTGTGGACGTGTCATAAGCTGGGGAATTGCTTTGGCCAGAGTGCCGAAATGGAGATTTCGGAGAGTGTCAGTCTCCCAGCGGCCGCCACTCTGGAAGAGCTTCAAACAAATTTTCTCGCTACGACGGCTGAGGCACGAATTATTAAGACCAGAGTATGAGGATGCTGTGTATGATACAATTGGCTCATCCGAGGACGAGGCAGGCCCATTGTTCAAGAAGCCTACTCGAGTTCGAACCCTTGGACCAAGCTCCCCGAACCCAGCAGAACCTGATAGTGATCCCTCTTCGCCCACGGCTGCAGATGGTTTCGGAAACTGGTCTTTTGCACGGAGACATACCTTACCACACCTTGATCATGGGAATCGACGTAACGCGACGCATACTCCTTCAGGGCGCAAAAAGCGAGCAACTTCCATGTCCGTTCGGCCCTTCTTCAAGCTTACTCAAGAGCAAGCGACTTTGAGGAAATGGCTCTATGCTGGATACGTCTACTTGAGTATCATAGCTATCATCCTTGGTGGCATTCGAACTTATGTACAATGGTATGCCCTAGATGGCAATGAGCCTATTGGTTGGGCTTTGGGATATCTCTTCGGCGACTGGTCTTGGTTCCGATATCAAGTTGTCAGTCTGAACTTGGAAAGATGGATATGCCTGCCCCCGCGAATTGACCCCACAGACGACAAGCAATGCCACTCTGGTTGGGTACAGCACGTTCGCCATAACGAATTTGGAGAAGCAAACACTCGACTTCTGTTGAGTACTTACTGGATGGGCATCTTGATTCTCGGGCTCATTATCGTCTTCCGTCTGAAGGACATCTATGAGGTCGATACACGGCGGAAGGTGTTCCACTTTATGATGGTTGGCATGTTTTTGCCCGCAACCTTTGTCGATCCCACGTATGCAGCTCTTGCCCTGTCTCTAATTCTTGCGGTCTTCTTGATCCTGGATCTTCTGCGAGCAAGTCAGCTACCTCCACTATCAAAGCCCATTGCCTCATTCCTAGCACCATACGTCGACGGCAGAGACTTCCGTGGTCCAGTTGTCATCTCGCACATATTTCTTCTAATTGGGTGCGCAATTCCTCTCTGGCTGGGCCTTGCTTCTCTACCACGCTCTGGATCCGGCTACCTCTCTGGCTGGGAAGTCACAACTCGAGATGTCAGTCTTGTCTCCGGAGTTATCTGCGTGGGTTTAGGAGACGCAGCTGCTTCTCTTATCGGTCGTCGATATGGACGTCGGAAGTGGTTCTGGGGAGGCGGTAAGAGCCTCGAGGGCAGCGTCGCCTTCGCTGTGGCCGTCATGCTGGGACTCGGTGCCGCTAGTATGTGGTTGAGAATCGGTGGTTGGCCTGCTGCAGGTGAACAGCCTGGAGTGATTGCTGGCACACGAAACGCTGCGATGTGCGCCTCCATGGCGAGCCTGACGGAGGCTGTTCTTACTGGCGGGAACGACAACGTCATCGTACCAGTGGTGTTGTGGACATGTGTGAAAAGCCTGGGTGTTTGATATAAAAGTACATCAAAGGTGGCGTTCCGGTGGTTTCTTTAAGACGGATGCTTGATATAGAGAGCAAGACATGGCAGACGGCTGCATAGACGACGTAATGTTCATGACAGACTTCAAGATAGTCTCAATTTAGGGTATTTATTCCCCTACATGTTTTAATTATACCCCTTTTTCAATTACAATAATGTAACTCAACTCTCTCGTGATATCTTATGCTCTCCCGACACCAGCGCCCATGCACCTTTGTTATGCTTCCGATTCTATATGTTACACTGGTTTTACATTATGACATGAGATCCTCCAGGATTGCCTCTAGCTCGTCTTTTCTAAACGGCAAGCTCAGCAACTCTGTTCCTAGAGCGTCCTTCATACTCGTGATTATTTGGTGGTCATGAAATCTACTCTTCGTTAGTCATGATTGTGTAACGGAAGGCGACAATGAACGTACTCTTTCAGCAAGGTTCGGAAAGCCATCTCGGAACTGCAGATGAACTCTTCCACGGCCTTGTTGTACACCATTCGATACTCAACACCAGTTGGCTCATCGCCGCTGTCGCCCTCCTCCTCAATAGCAATGAGCACCTCGCCCACCAAGAGGCGGAACAGATTCTTGGCGTTCTCGGGCAAACTTCGTAAAACAAACGCAACACCTTCTCTACCATTGACTCGGTGAGCATTCCTCCCGAGAAGCTCGTGTACCTCATCCACAACATCCAGCTCGGCACCATATGGGGCAAAGGTCGTGCAGTCGTGGAACACCATATTAAACGCAGATCGCACACCTATGTCCCATAGTAGTGCAAAGTCTGGTGTATCAGCTGAGCACACCAACCGTATTTGAGGATGCGCCGCGAGTTGCGCTAGAGCAGACTGTGAACCGGATTTACGAAGAGGCGCTGCATCGATTGAGTTAACAACAAGAGTCAATGTTGAAGACGTTGTGGCGAGGTGTGATAGAATGGCAGGGACCATGACGGCAGGTTGCGTTAGAGGAATGCGGTGACTTGGATCAACCGCCGCACCAATTGTGCTCAATACCTCGCGCATAACGGTGTTGTGGGCATAACCATTGATTATAACAATCTTGTCCCCCTTCTCCTTCCTAATGGAAGAGTACAAGTGACCGGCAAGCTTATGCAGGAGACGTCGCTTCGAGCCATAACCATATAGACACAAACTGAACCCTTGCGATAACTCAAACGCCCATTGCGGGAATGATTCGGCATGTAGACTCTCCAAAAATTCGATATCGGCCTCATGGTGATCCTGAGTTTCCCGCATAATAGTAAAGTATTCGTCGTGTGTAAGTAGGGCGAGTGATCCCAGAGTATTATTCGAAGTCTTCGCCCGCCCAGGTTTGTTGTGCGCAAAGTATAATTCGTGAGGAGGCAAGTCGCGAGGAGGAGTCGGAGACCGAGCTGGTGCTTTCCGCTGAGCTTTTCGGCGAGGTGTCGATTTCGAAGGTGTCGCAGCTTCATCTACCCCTGATGCTTCTGTGGAAATGGCAATGTCGCCCTCGAGCGCTTCTTCCTCTTCACTAGATTCGTAGATTTGCTGCGCAAGACCATCGTATTCCTCCTCATCCGTAAGGTCGTCGCCAACAACATGTTCTATGAGAGCTCTCGTACTCTTTCGCTTGGCAGATCTATCTGCTCCTCCAGGTGTTGCTCCATTCAGAGCAATGGGCGTTTTCTTGTTTGGCGTTTCAAAAAGAGCAGTACGGTTTGCTTTCGGTGTGGGAGTTTCGCCATTCACAGCCTTCTTTGGTGGTCTCCCTCGTCGTTTTGGCGCAGGTTTAGGGGTTTCATCTGGGTCGACTCTTGATAATGATTCGGATGAACTAGCATCACTGTCTCCTATCACATCTCGGTGGATTCCTTCTGTATGACCATTCGTTCCGGTGGTGGCTTTGGGTGAATGATGAGCTGCACTTCGTTGTCGCTTTACTGGTGATGTTTCGAGGTCGCTTTCGGGAATGGGTTCGAGATCTTGGTGCCCTCGTTTTCGTAAGGATCTTGGAAGATCTTGTTGAGTATCAGGCTCAGGTACTGCCTTTTTTGGAGGCATTTTGTGATCGCTGAGGCTGGCGGAATCACTTGAGTTTCCCGAAAGCCAACTTTTTGTAATTGTTGATGTAATTTCTGGAATGGGTAAAATGAATACAGAGCCCAGGCGCGTGGTAACTACTAGTAACGCGCCTGCTAAATTGGCAGTGGCGCTTGTGGCGCCAATGCATGTGGCGCGAGCTTCACTTCCAACGACAATTCATTTTCACATGCTCTCTAGACTTAAGTTATACGGATTTTATAGACAACGGAACGATGTTGAATCTAAATCTATCAGCCTCATTAAATATCACAAGGCTTATCTTTAAGCCGAGTCTGTGTCTACCTCATCACACTGTCTCAACTTTTAATGACTTGCCGATTCCTCTAGAAAAAGGCTTGCAAAAAGATGGTCGAAAAGTAGAGATCAAGGCTGTTGTTCTCGACAAAGACGATTGCTTTGCTTATCCTGATAGTATTGAGGTGTATGATTCTTACAAGGTGCCTATAACTTGCACCCCGCCTGATACTCAAGATTGTCTGCTAAATTGGAGCATAGACTCACTTCGAAAAGTTAAGGTTGGCTTATCCTGGTCGCAAGTTACTTGTGGTTTCAAATACTGCTGGAGCAACGTCATGGGATAAGAATTTGAAGCTAGCTGCAGAGGTCGAAGAGAACACAGGAATCACTGTGCTCTCGCACTCAGTCAAGAAGCCAGGTTGTGGCCAAGAGATCATGGAATATTTCAAAAAGCACCCAGAGACAGGAGTGACGGATCCTGCACACGTTGCGTTCGTCGGTGATAGACTGACGACCGACATGATGCTTGCAAATATGACAGGAGGGTGGGGTTTTTGGGTGAGAGACGGAGTAATACCTCTGGAAAAGAAGAGTATCGTGAGTCGCTGTCAGCCCCTCAACAGACGGTAAATCGTCATAAGGCAATAACTGGCAACAACTGACAACACTAGTTCTCGAGATTGGAACGACCTTTGGCTTCTTTCCTCTTTGCTAGGGGTATTAGTGCTCCTGAACCCCGCAGCATCTTTGAGGAGTAGTCATGTCGGAAGGTGTCGAAGGGAAAAGTCAGAGTCAAACGGCTCGTCTGAACTTCTCCGTTTGCATTGAATCACAATGTGACCTGCTCCATTGTCCTTCATTCAGTACGGGCACCTGACCTTTGATAAGCATTCGCATGGCTTAAGCAGACAATGCAAACGGGACTGAATCACTCATCTATTGTCCTGAGAGCCTATAAAGCTGCGTTCGTGATCTTCATTCTCTACTCTTATCCTCTTTCCGCACTACCATTCGATATAGGCATCGTCGCTTGCCTTATATACTCTGCCTGTTGTACTTCGTTATCGTCACTTTTTTATATACTTGCTTCTTCACTCTCCTCTCTTCTTTGGTCCACCCTAACATTGGGCCTCAACCATGGGTGGAAAGACTTGGTCGGTAGACGAAGAACGAATGCTCTGGGAAGTCGTTGTTCCTCGCTCAGTAGCTGCTGCTAACCCAGCTGATCGAGGCATGAGCTGGGAGCAATGCGCGCAATATATGAACGACAATGCTGGTGACATCGCCCAACGCAACTATACTAAGAACATGTTATGTGAGTTACCTATGCGCTTCCAATACCTTCTAAGGTTTCTGCTGACTCTGATAGACGAGCATCACTACCAGAACATTGTCAAGGGTGGTTCTTCCCCGAATGCTGGTCCATTTGTTGAACGGCACCTACGCTTGATCGGTTAGTCTGGTACGATTTTCCCCTCGATTCCAAGGTTCTAACAGATAACAGAATGGTACAAGAACCATAGATCGCCTCCACCGGCTAGCCCCTCTCCAGTTCCGCGACCCCCTCGAAACCCTGAACTTACCGCGCTTTTGAGCGAGCAGTCGAAGCCCAAGAGACGACGGGGCAAGAATGCAGCCAAGACTCGAGTCGCGGAGAATCGAAATGCACTGCCCACTATCGATGAGGATGGACCTGGACCTGGACTGAGTGGCTCAGGCACATCCAGCGTCCCATATGTTCGTTCGTTCGCTCCGTACGATTGGGCTCAGCAGCAGTCTTTTGAAGAAAACCAGTCACCACCAGATGACCCGAGGGCGAAGTATGCACTCGATTTTCGCCCGCTGCCCAGAACAGTGCGTGCTGCCAGACCTGGAGGCAACTTCTTGAGCCGACCCATGGAGAAGTTGGAAGGCGGGCTTTGGCGCCTCGTACCTGAAACTCGAGAGAACGAGAACCTTGGAGAATCGATGTCCATGGTTCCGCGAAACAGCAATGTCCAGGCTCGACATTCCAGGGCGCAGGAGGAAAGCTCATGGACTCGGCCATATACTGGGCCCCCTCAGCGGTCCCCTCAGGGACCTCAAGGAGGGATTCTACCTTCTATCCGTCAAACATTTCCTTTCATCAACTTTAGGCAGCCTCCGAACTCTGCCCCTCTTCGTGAGACATCACATCAGACTGGCAAGCGCGGCTACAGTGGTGGCCAGGACCAGAATCAGGCCCCTAAGCGACGAAGACTTCCTGACCGCCCTGTCCCCCGTCAAAGCAACTAGCAGCCACCGAGCCAGAGAAAATGAATCATGGATAATTATGGACGACGGGTTGGCCCACATTGTGGCAAGAAGACCTAGACATTGGACGAGGACGAGTGAGAGATTGAGAGCGGGACGGAAATTGTAGTCAAAGGGGATGCATGAAGATACTTTTCTTTTGAGCTTTGAAGATATGTGGCTAGGAGGATAATTGCTGAGACTTGACAAGAGGAAATGTATTATTAGAGCAACAACTTGAGGGCAGCAGTTTGTTATGACAGCCTTGTTGATATTTGAAACAAACAACAGTTATGCAAATCCCGGAATTCATTTTCCCATAAGTCCGTGACCTCAACTTCGTTTCATCCTTTGCTTGTTCTTCTACATCTTCTAGCCTTTGAACAATAAAACTGATTGATTGTCTATCCGGGCGGGCCCGCCGAAGTCGGCATGGTGGGGCCGGATCTCCGACAACGCCCCCCGAAAGGCGGTGATACTTGGCAGAAATAATCCTCCCGAAAGATTTCCCCAGAGAATCTCAAGTCCATCCGGCCGTAGCTAAACCCGCCCTCCCACTTTAACGACCGTGTTCCTCATCTCATCTCATCACAACCATGAACTTCCCGGGAATGACACCTTCAGGCGGCGCCGCCGCACCGCCTGGGATCGGCGGACCTCAAGATCCTAACGTTAAAGCTGTACGTGGATGCGCAACTTGCTCGGAATTTCGCGGGGCGCATAGCTAACTTTGAGAAATATAGGTTCAGTCTGCGATGGAGTCTTGTTTTGGGAAGTCAGTCATGTCGGGAGTTATGGGATTCGGTATGGGTGGTTTATTCGGAATGTTCATGGCCTCTGTGCGTTCTATCTCCAACTTCGAGCCGTCATTCCAAGCTAATATCCCTGCCAGATGTCCTACGATACACCTTACCACACAGCCGCCCCCGGTAGCCCGCAAAGCACGATCACATCGCTTCCTCTCAAGCAACAACTCAAGATCGGATTCAAGGATATGGGAACGCGATCATGGTCTATGGCCAAGAACTTCGGAAAAGTTGGCGCTTTGTACTCTGGCGTAGAGTGCGGTATCGAGGGCCTGCGAGCGAAGAACGATCTTACGAACAGTGTCGCCGCAGGATGTTTGACGGGTGGTATTCTGGCCAAGAATGCTGGCCCTCAAGCTGCTGCAGGTGGTTGTTTGGCTTTCGCAGCATTCAGTGCGGCCATCGATGCATACATGCGATCACCACCCAAGGACGACTAAATGCTGGCAGCTGATATAAACAAAATTGGGGTTCGAACGAGCGGGTTAAGAGATGTATAAATATGCTTGGATTTTCTACAGACGTGGGAGTTTACGGTAATCATATTCTAGAGCATAGGGCGGCGTTGGGAGACGGACTCTCTCCTCTTTTGGAATCTTCGCCACTGAATGTACGAAGGCGGCACAAGGATAGATATGGAGATGATGATATGGCACTTGTATTAACAGGTATTTTAAGACCCGCACTTCATAGAGGAACTGCTCATGCAGAGTCCACGAGTCTACACTGTAATCTTAGCAAAAGAATTTATGTCTGCAATGACTGCCTATCTCATAAATGCAACCTGAAGACCCCTTTGTTCTTAACGCCGCGCTTTCAAAAGAGCAAACAGCACACGTTCAGCTTTGGACATACTCAGACTCAACTTGCTTGGTATACTTGAAAAGTGCCAAACTCCCAATACGCATTCTCAAATGCTTCAGGATTGTTGGCAACGAGATCAGTGCATTTGCCCGAACCTGAAAATTGTCAGCATTACTTCCTTACAAGTATATGGGCCAACTTACATCCAGAGTTGTCCCAAACGTGATAGACGAGACTGCCACACAGGTCGATATTGGCAATGATACTCTGGTTCTTGAAGTGCGTGCCAATGTTGCAATGTGTGTTGGGAAAGTCGGCAACAGCAGTACCCCAAGTGTCGGGCTTTGGGTTGTTTCCTTTAATATCTGATGGTATAGAGTCTCTGCCGAACTGCCACATGCGGATGCCTTCATGCCGCCATTCAACCGCCATCACACCTCCTCCATTCTTATTGAAGACAGTGCCGTATCCCGCAGGCTCTGACAGAACGCCACAGCCTGCATTATCGTCCTTTTCGTGGTTGCAGTTTTTCTGCAGTGTCTTACCTGTGTCCTCGCGGCGTACGTCCATTGAGCAGTCGCCGGTAGTGTGCAAGGTCATTTGATTCCCGTCTTCGGCTTTGTTTGTCGACTCCATCACATCAATTTCTCCATGATTCGGCCAGTTGAAAGGGTCTGTAAGCCAAAGGGCCGGCCATGTGCCACAGCCATAGGGAGTATGCTTGACGTCGAAGATGAAAAGGCCGTTCTCGTATGTCTTCTTGGACTCGATTCGAACAGAAAAGCGACCAGTAGATGCATTAGGCTTGTCGTTGGGGCCGACAGAAGTGTCGACTTTGATAACGGCAGTGCTGGGCGAAGCATATGTGAGATTCTGGAGAGTGTTAGTTGAACATGATACTAAGTAGTGCTTTGTTTTGTGGCCGGCAGGGGTTCCTTACAAGAAGCTCTGCTTGCGCTTTTGGAACGTAATGAACGAAGCCCTCAGCTGAAAAGAAGCGTCAGTACTGCAACCCTTGAAGTAGGAGGTAGTTCTTACTGGGGTCGTATCCTGTGAAATAGTTGAACTGATCAAAGAAGGATTCACCTCCATCTGGGCAGTGGTTAGCGGGTCTTTTTATCCAAGCTGATGATGATAGGCACTTACATGTATCTTTCAAGCTGTACGATAATGGTGTGTAGTCTGGATATATATTCTTTCTAGCTTTTCCCACGGCGACAGCAACAATTATTATCACTATGACAATGATGACTATGATAATAGCAGCCCAGACTCTCTTTCGCCAGTACCGAGGATTCCACCAGGGCATTGTTGAGCTTGCATGACGGACTTCCTGGCCTTTACGAGCCAGCATTATCTCGTCGTAAATTGGAGGTATCTCTCCAGGCTTGACGCCAGATGAATACCGCGACATGTTGACGTAGTTGAAAATGGAAGAACTGGGTAAATGGGTGAGTGAAGAGTTGAAGCTGGAGTTGCTTGTATCAACTGATGAATGACAAGAGAACAAGAGGAGTGAAGAGAAGAGAAGAGAGTTGGTGATAGATAGAATGGAATGCAATGCAGAAGAGATGGATGTTGATGGAGATGGGTTGTCTCAGCCTCGAGTGCACCCTCTCAGAAGCATATGAATCAAGTTTCTTTTTTTATTCACAGGAAGGAGGAAGTGAGGAATTTCTGTTGAAACATTTGAGGGAGCAAAGCAGCTCTCCTCCTTCCTTCAATACTGTGCAGCTGCAGATGGTCGGGCGCACATCCAAGGCAGCCCGTGAGTGATTCACAGTCCCTTTCTATAAGACGAGGTAAGGTACCTACCTGAGAAATGGGAAAGTTTATTGGGCATTTGACGTAGGTATCATGAGCAGCAAATCAATATACAAGGGTACTTGGCGGCACTCGCCCGCCCATGGGGCATCCCCCACATGCCGTCTTTCCGATCTGCCTACTCCCTAGCGCATGCATCGCTTTGGTGTGGGCTGAAGTTCGATGCTGATGATGATATCCGCGTAGCCGTGCAGCCGTGTTAGCCATGAGAGGGTTCAGGGGTAACACGAGAGACCACAAACAAAACCACTGATAAGTCAGAGTCTCAACAACGTTTCCGAAATCACTACAAAAATAGCTCGTGTTGATTGCATTATCTACTTGTCTCAAGGGATAGCTTAAATTCGGAAATGGCTGCTCAGAGATAGCGAGACGCGTAATCTGCAGACCAATAACTGACAGAAGCGTGTAAACTCAACACTACCATGAATCGATGACCGGAAATACGGCCTGGCAACGCGTCATTTTACTGATCTCTTTATTTATAATCTCCACTGAAAAGAACGAGCTCGAATTATTTAAGTTCGAGGGCTCAGTGGACATTGTCTTATTTTGGTGCCGACGCTAACAGAAATTGAGGATAACTTACACAGGCCTGAGACGTACGAGACATGCCGTGAAGCCGAGAGCCGCTTACAACTTGTCTGAGGGGATAGAAAATGGTGTTGTCGCGTGCAAGGGACTCGGCTACCATTGCAACATAACTAGACATAGCTCCTATAAGAAATATCAAGGGAGCGTTTAAAATGCTACCAAGTATCACGCCTCGCTCATCGTCCATGTAACATATCAAGATCTCTGATTCCAAATCCCACTCCGCCAGTAGATCCTCGACTGTATTAACAAAAAGATTTCGTACAAAAGACATCCAGTGCCTCCCAGCATGGGTTAGACAATCAACGTCTTTGAAATAGCCACAACAGCACAAAGCCATGCCCCAAGATCAGTCGTTAACATCCTCAAATGATTAACAGCCAACCATCTCTCCAGCATCCCAACATTATCCGTCCCCTCAACAGCGCAATTATCCTCCCACAGCGCCCTGAGCTTCCACGCTACAGCAGGCACGTATGCAAGATGCCCCAGCGCCAGTGCAGCAGACCAGCCGTACCAAAATAGTGAGCCGCGAGACCGGAGTAAAGCGCGGTCAGACCAGATATTGACGATCGAAGTGCTGAATGTTAGGCCAATGAAAGTGAGGACCGCCCATGGGCCTGAACCGTAGAAATTACTGATGTAGCCTGGGAGGATCTCATTGGCCTTCTTGCGCTCAATGGGAGACTTGGTGAAGAGGGTGAGGAAGAAACTTTGGTCACGGGCGAACCAGAGTGTGATGCTTGATGAGACGAGGGGAGCTGTTAAGAGGAGGACCCTAGGGTTGAAAAACGCCCCAGAGGCCATTTTGATGCAGCTGAATTGATTAAAAGGTACAAGACTGAAATCAACTGAGCTGTGAGTCTCGATACTCAATGAGAAGATTTTGCTTTAACTTCAAGGCCCGTTTTATATAAATTAGTCTTGGAGAGTAAAAGCCTCCGAAAAACATTGACTTTATGCGACCCTGGGATGTTACTGTTGCTTCTCTCATCATGGCGATCCTTCAAACCCTCCTCACGCGCTACTGCAACGCCAAACCCTCCGATCCTGCAGAAACTGATAACCGAATAATTTCGAAAGATCAGCCCTGTCGTATGATGTCGGGAAATCTAGCATCACGTTTCCTGATTATTTTCTTGTCCCAAGAAATCATAAATTTCATTTTAATAATCGTTGCTAATTAGGTAGGTATACAGCTCATATTCTACTCAACCTCCAACCTGAGTGCATCATACTGAACATACACTGATGTTGGCAGCACAGCAGACTCATAGTTCGTAGCGTTGTAAGGCAAGCTCAGGATGATCTCATTCTCACCCTTCTTCAACAACTTGGCATCAAACTCGAATTTATGAGCGATATTGTAGCAGCTCACTGAGGAGCGAACAGCACAGGAGCTGCTGTGGTCGTAACTTAAAAAGGTCAGCATAGCTCATCTTCGAGAGATCCAGGTTCGACTTACGGAATAACCCAAGGCTCAAGATCCTTGCCGTTGATGTTCACGGTATACTTGAGGTTCGAGTGAGGCTCAGAAGCATTGTAGATATCCGTGTTTCCAGCAGCAGTCTTGGCACCCGCAAGTTGAACGGTAAAAGTCGCATGCTTCTTGTGCTTGACCTGCGACTCCTTCAGATCGAAGGCAATAGTCCAGTTGTTGACATTGCCGTCGCCAACATACTGCTCTGGGCGTACGGAGTTGCCCTTTCCTCCGAAAACACTCCAGTGGACGTAGTTGAGATCCTTGCCGACATCGCTCTCACCAACCTTGAAGTTGACACCCTCAGGGAAGTCCTTGACAAAGTCCCAGTTGGCCCAGTAAATACGGTACTGTTCCGGCTGCAGCGGCTTGGATGTATCGGGCTCGAAGCCATGGCGGTATTCACCAGAGGTCTTGTCAGGAGTACCAATTCGCCAGAGTTCCTTGCCTGCGGACTCTTCCCTCCAGCGGACATTCTTCTTCTCAGTCTTGCCAGCCTTGATCTTGACCTTGTCCTGAGTGTATTGTCCAAAAATGTTATCGGCATAGACGGTAAGACGATATGTTCCAGACTTGACTCGAGGAATAGTAGCACGGCCGCTCTCATCGAGGTTAGCCCAGTACTGGTAGGCCTTTGTGTCGAAGACATTGTCTTGGAAGTCCACGCCGCTCTGTGCGAGAACAGCAATGGCATTCTTGGCCCCCTTGGGAAGATCGACCTTGACCTCGAAGGACCCTCTGGATTTCGTTGGTACGTAGTTAGGAACGTGCTTTGCAATTGAATCGTAGAAATCGGCATTCCACTCAGGGTCAGCGTATTGAGCTGCATCGGCCTGGGCTTTCAAGATGTCGGTCTCTCCGGGGAAGCGGTTGAAGTGGAAGTATTGCTACGAGAAGTTAGAGAAATTAATATGCTAGATGCTTCAGATAGACTTACAGGTCCAAATGTTCGGTCAAATCCATTGGTAATGTTGGGCTACACAGGTTAGTTCTAGTCTTAATAGAGAAGTGAGTGGACTGACCGTTTGATCTCCATGATGGTTAGAGCTAATATAGTTGTAAAGAATACCATCAACAACCAAATCAGAATGCAGAGGTCCACCAAAGTAGGTGTCTTTGGTGTTCATGACAAGCCAAGCACCATATGCATCTCCATCTTCGGTTTTGGAACCATCAGCGAACCTTTTATCTGTCAGTCAAATATCCCAAAATGCCGAGACGCATGAAACTCACAGTCCATAAGCATCAATATCACGCCAGCTGTCTTGGAACGTATACTTGGTAAAGTAATCCGCTTCCTGCTTAACATAGGGATCATTGGGTGTGTTTCCTAGATACCATGTAGCATCTTGTACCACAACCTGCTTCTCCTTTGCTTCCTTGCCCGGGAGAGGCGCATATTGCTTCGTGTTGGTCAGGAGATGAGTCCACATGTCGTTATTCGGTCGGAAGAGGGTTCGAAGCTCCTGAAGGTTGCGAAGGAAGGGCTGCTCCTCGTTGTGATACGCGACTCGGCTGAAGGTATGGAGCCCAGTTTCTCCATCTCTCAAGAACCAGTATTGCTCCAGAACCTGACCTGTCTCGGTGTACGTGTCGGACATGACGATACCGCCATAGTCCTTACCCTTGCCATCTTTACCCTTGAAGAGTTTGTACTCAGGGGCCACGGAACCCGGCGTCCAGAATCCCTTGGGCGTGCAGTAACAATCAAGGTAAGGTCCAATGCCTGTAGATCCAGATGGGCTACCGAGAAGGTTCGTTCCGTCAAGAGTGAGCTTTACAATGGCGCCGCCCTTCTTCTGAACAGCCGCATATAGTCGGTCATTTGAAATCACCAACTGTGTATCGGTCTCGGTCGCATTGAGAGCCGCAGCTACCAATTGAGGTGCCTGAAGCAACGAAACGAGGAAAGCTGCCGAAAGCTTGCGGAACTTCATGGTCAAGGCTGCAATGGGTGTAAGTGGCAGAAGCTATCGATCAACAACTCCAGGACGATCAATGCGACCCCAACTCTCTTTATAACTACAGAATTCACCCATGACCCCACAAATAACCCCCAACAACCTTGTGGGGGATGAAGCTTTCATGAGAAGGTGAGGGTAGCTTGGTCATGTATTTCCCCATGGGGACGTTGTCGATCACATCTTTTCAGGCTAAGACCGAACTTTAGCAAATTATTCGGGAGAAATAAAAGCCCCTTGCTCTCGGTTTTCGGGTCAAAGATCAGCGAGTATCAGGGGAAAGCTAGCTTCACGCAGGCAAATGACCTTGTAAACCTGGTCAACACCATGGCGATTCTCCAAAGGTCGACAGTTCGTGACGTTTACCCCGCAAACAAGCCCAAATTGGTCACATTTCCGAAATGCGGAGGGAGATGAGATCCCGGTGATTCCACGTATTGGAGCTGGGGCCTCCCCCAACGATGGTCTTAGCATTGAACGGTTGGTATCATAAGACAGTTGAATAAGATTAATTCGCCAAGCAACGAGGGCTGTGCTTTGATAGTGTCTTGGTATTGTAAATATGCCTCTTGTAATCCAAAAACTGCTCATTGACGGCTGACTGAGTCTAACTGTATAACCACTAACTCTCTGCACAATTTTGCCGTTTAATCTTCGTCGTCGTCAGGGTCGACTCGCGGTCGTTTGGATTGTCTGCTGTCTTCATCCTGCAAGCCATAACCTCGCTTAGATGATGAGTTCTGGTCCACCTCAGATAGAAACTTGTCAACGTTGAAAGGATCTCCAGCATCTTTCTCAAACTGAACTGGCCCTTCTCGTGCCTGTATTGAGTTTGTTAGCAAAGTTTTAGACGGTGTTCTGTAAAAATGGAAACTGACCTCGGCGTCTGCGGCACCTTTGAAAGTTCCCTTACCAAGGGCTTCACCAAAACGACTGCTCTTCTGGATCTTGGCCATTTCCCGGTCACCAGCTTCGCCATCGTCATCATCATCCACATTTGCCCGTGGTCGATAAATACTGCTGATGGCGTCCTGTGCAGCGAAGAGAGGCTTGTCGTAAGGGTTGTCCTCGTTAATACCACTATCGAATCCGCTTGTCTGGTTGAATAGTCTCGAGTCATACATCGTCTCCTTCGATTGTGTAGGTTTGGCCAGGCCCAGAGCAATCTTCTCAGATATATCTCTGCCTTGTTCACGGGCCATAACTTGAGCTCGTCGTTCAGCACCCATGCGGTTTTGTCGTAGCTTTCGCTCTTCCTCCCTTTGTTTCTCTTGTCGTGCTTTGACACGCTCTCTAACTTCTTCATCCTCACTATCAGAGCGATCGGACTCGGAGTAACTGTAGCTTCGCGATCGCGACCTCGAGTCCCTCGAGTCCCCAGAGTCACGAGAATCTCGACGCCCACGACCAGCAGCAGCCCGTTCTGCTCGAGCCTTTTGGGCCAGCTCTCGAAGGGTATCCTCTTTTTGGGACTTTTCCTTCTCCGCCAGGCGCTGTTGCATCATGGCACGTTTCTGAACCTCATCACGAGCATGACGCTCGGCCATTTTTACAGCTTCGGCAAGTTGAGCATGCTTGTCGCTAATGACTACATCCTGTAAGCCTCGTCCATCTGCAGCCAGGCGCTTATCCAACGGTACTGTGAACCCCTTGGGGTTCTTCCAGTTCGAAATTGGGGGAGGAATCCTCCACATTTCTTGGTCTTCAGCGGTAAGTTTTCGTGGTGGTGAGTGCATAACTGGTGGGGGCGGCGAAGGTGGTCCTCGAGGGATCTTTTTATGCTTGAACTTGGGTGGTTCCATGGGATCTCTTTGGCGTTCGACAATTTTCATGATGCGGTCCTGCTTCTTGGAGTTGTCGCCCATCTGGTTTGCAGGTGTATATCGAACAAACGTAGCGTCTTTTCGTTGCCCAATATTAACATTTTTCGGTTTCTGTGCTGCGACCGCTCCCGAGACCAATGCAGCTAATGCGTTCTTCGTCCTCTCCGTTGTTGCCTCTACAGACTCCTTATCGGGTCGCGAAAGATCGATCTCGCCCGCGTCGGCGCGTTGTCGAAGAGGAATCAATTCCTTGAACGAAGTGTGAACGATACGATTTTCGCTGTGTCCTTGTCGCGCGATGGTATCGTATTTGACCTTGCCTTCGGAATCAACTTGAATTGCCAACGCGTTGCTAGAATTTCCTCCTTTCTTTCCCATCTCTAACGGATACTGAGCGATAGGGATTTCGGGAAAAGCACCTCCATCGCCAAAGTCCTCCTGCGATCGAGGGCGCCATCCTGAGCGCTGGCCATATGCTGGAGGACCAGATCGCTTGAGGACGAGCTGGGTTTCGTCAAGTTGTCCGGGGCCAACAATTCGAACACCGCGTTGTTGCGCTCGCGCCGGGGGTTCTTCATCTTCGCCCGTGTATTTTGGCTTGGGCAGCGCAGCCTGAAGCGACCCGGCGATCGATGTCATTTTGTGTTTGTGAGGATGAAGTTGTTTGGAACGTTCATCAGTCGCGAGGCTCCAAGGTTTAGAATTTCAAGAGGCGACGGCTCTAAAAACGGTTTAGCGTATTGAGTAGCTTGATGCTACGCCAAGATTCGATGGTGCATCAATCAACCTTGAAAAGCAATATTTAAATCCGATGGAAGATTGACAATAGAAAAATAACTAAAGTTGCAAAGATTACGAAGCGGATAACTCATACTCGAAGATTATATCGAATCTTTAAGACTAAAGTTCAAGGCAGCTCAGTGTAGTGTAACGTAATTGGTCGTTGAAGCTTTGCAATCAGACAGCTCCTGGAACCACGTGAAAGACTTCCTCAGCCTGTGTGATTCGAGCGCTCAGGTAGTATTTGAACTGTGATTTACATATACATCACCACCTGAGCCATTCATCGTTCTATTGGTAGACAGAGAGCGATACTCTCTTTTTGAGCACTCTTGCCTACAGGTCAACCCCTGAATGATTATTAGCATGTTACCTGATTACAGGGATTGGGCTAAGGTTTCTTCACTCTTCTTAATATTTAAGCCTTATTAATAAGAAAGAATAACTAAACAATTATTTTAAAAAAAATTATATTTTTAATTATACATATATATTTTATCTTTATTATATAAAAATCTAAGAAAGATAGAGATATCCTTGCTATTTATGGTAGGGTTGTCATGGGCTAAGGAAAATTCAGGAGGTACCTATACTGTACTGAAAAGCATGGAGCTATTGTAGCCATGCCCCAGAAACGTCATAGCTCATTGGTTGGGCAACTACTGGCCAGGTATTATTTCATGTACGTGAAGCTGATCAGGAGATTTGGATGTTGACGATGGCAGAAGTCAGAAGAGAACTTCAATTCATATGGAAAACATCGGTTATTCATAAATGTAAAGTGCGACAGCTTCATGTCATTTCATTAACTGTCAAGCCAAGCAAAAGCGTATCATGACAACTATCATACCAGTATCGCAAATCTGTAAAGTCAACCCAAATACCAGACTCTTAAGACAGTTCAAGCGCTCTACTTCCGTTGATTATACATAACACTTCCAATATCCATCTCCTTTTGATTCCGCGCCTCGTAACACCCAGTTCCGTCGTAGTATATGATACAGCGATTTCTTTATACGTAGCCCTTGCGCGCACCCTGATTATCTAGTTAGCTAGTATTCCGCAAACGTTCATACATGCAAGTAGGACTTACCTGGAAAAAGAATCGAACAACAAACACCTGTAGGGCACCCATGCAGATAATCAGGCCGATCTGGATCATGCTGAAGTTGATGATTCGGCCCTCAGTGCTATTGACGGTGGCAAAGTTACGGTTTTCACGAGTTCGGAAGTACTTCTGGTTTCGGGAAATGGTCGATAGCTGGCCAGAGACCTTGAAGATGGAGTCCTCGAGGATCGAAGTCTGTTCGGGGGTGGTACCCTGCTTGGAAGGCAGCTGGGCGCGGGACTCGTTCTCAACGGCAATCTCGAAATCGACAAACTTCTCAGCGAAGGTGCTCATCTCGTTATCGAAGCAGAAAGAGTAGTCGCCGACAACATTGGCGGAGAAGACAAAGTCGCCTTGTCGCTCCTTTTGACCATCCATGATGATCTTGCCATTGGGACCCTCGACGACATAGTCGACATCAAAAGAACCACCGGATTGGACCTGTAGTTCATGTTAAACTCCATATTCGATGGGTGACCTTGCATTGGAGGAGGCTCACAGCAAAGTAGAAAGCGATCTTCTCTCCCTCCTTTTTCGTGGTGGTATGGAAACAGGCCTTCTCGTTAGCATCGAGCTTATATGTCAAAGCAGTAGCGGCGACATTGGTGACCAGGCCGGCGAAAAGCCCAGCGACAAGTGTTGATAGTCTCATTGTTGCGGCTTTGTATGAGATGTTGTCGCGTGCTGTTCAGGACAAGCTGTCGCTAAAGTGGACATGTGTCGGAGCCAACGACCCCGGTTCCTGATTGAATAGTCGACATCACGTGATTTTATTGGCCAGGGGCTCCCGGCGCTACTTGTAGCAGATAGGTTACTGATAGCGAGCCTGACGGTACCTCATATCTGTATGTTTAGGGTCTCTCTTTTGTAATGACAAAGCTGCGTCTAGCTTGACTATTATTAACTGCGCTCTTTTTATTTCTTCGCCAGTAAACAAATAGTCTCTTCTGAACCCTTTTCCTGTCAACCACTGTTTTGTCCCACCACTCCTGTTGTTGACTCACGCTTCCCAGCAGCTATCTTTTTTTTATAACTTCCACCCCTCCACCTCTATTTCCTCCTTTCCACCTCTTTGTCTATTCTCATTAAGGCGTGAGATATCTCATGCCTTGAGAGTCTTGACCAGCTCAGCAACGATGGCATCTCCTGCTTCAGCGGTGCCTGTGCTGCCGCCCATATCCTTGGTTCTTAGCCCGCCGTCGATGGCAGCGCGAACCGCGTCCTCAACGAGTTTGGCCTCGTGGGCAAGATTCAGAGAGTACCGGAACATCATAGCCACGGAAAGGATGGTGCCAATGGGATTCTAGATATAATATCAGCTCTGTACTTGCAGCGAATGGATAGGAATCGCCCGAAACGGGGTCTTAACGTACGACAATCCCTTTCCCTGATATGTCCGGTGCGCTACCTGTCATCTAAGTTAGCGGCTGATATCTAAATGAGGGCTTGAGTGGAGGATGGGAGTCTCACCATGAATAGGTTCATAGATAGAAAGCACTTTAGAGCCTACTTCCGGAACCCCGCAGAGACTCGCGCTCGGGAGGAGCCCTATGCTGCCAGTTATAGCGCTCGCCTCGTCGCTGAGAATATCCCCTAAAAGCTCGTCAGCCAAACTGCCTTTGAGGTGGACAAGGGGCCTCGCTTACCTGCCAAGTTTGGCGCTATCATAACGCCATTTAGCTGCGTCGGGTTCTTGACCATGATCATGGCCGCGCTGTCAATGAGCTGATGCTCAACCTTCAGATCAGGGAACTCGTTTTTATAAACCTCGTCAACCACAGAACGCCATAGTCTGCTTGTCGCCAACACATTTGCCTTATCTAGCGAGATGACCCGCGAGTCTCCCCTAGTCCTGGCTAGGTAGCCGCCCAGCCGCGCGATACGCTCGATTTCTGGTTTCGTATAAACAGTAGTGTCGAACGCATTGACTCCATCGTACTCTTTCCGCTCTCCGAAATACAAGCCTGAGGTTAATTCCCGGACTAGCATCATGTCGACGCCACGGCAGACAGACGCCTTTAGGGGGGACGTCTCGACAAGGGCGTCGGACGCGAAGAAACAGGGACGGAGGTTTCCATAGGCGCACATCTCACTGCGTAGCTTTAGAAGGCCCTGCTCCGGGCGAACGGCGCCAGTGCCCCATTCAGGGCCGCCAATGGCGCCGAGAAGCACAGCGTCGGAGGCTTTGGCGGCGGCGAGGGCCTCGTCTGTAAGAGGGGTGCCGGTCTTGTCGATAGAGCACTGGGGAGAAACGCAGAGATCAGCAAGAGACTTCTCTCGTGGGTGTCTTTGTGCCCGTGTAATCCGTCGTCGGGGGACGACTTACCCCTCCGAGCAGCAGGTGCTCCAAATTGAATTTGCCAGCAGTCGGGCTGATGTCCTCAACTGCCTTAATAACCTAAATCCTGCGTCAGACGTGCTCAACTGCAGGTCGCAAGTACTAGACTCATACTTTAATTGCCTCGGCAATAACCTGCCAAATAACCAAAGTCAGCCTCTCTCCGTCTAGAGTCAAGGGTGGGAAAGCTCGCGGGTAGCCTACCTCTGGGCCACAGTGGTCGCCCGCAAAGACAACAATGTTGTGTTCCGCCATGATTGCAATACTTATCTGGCAGAGTTCGTCCAAAGAAGAGTCCGTTTTATGAGATGAAGCACGAGAATAAGTGGTTGGAAGAGGAAGTGAGGAAATTGAAGAATAAATTCGACGAGATATATCGCCGAGCTCCCCTTACCCTTACCCCCGCCGCCCAACTGCCGAGATCGGAGAGGGGCATTGAAAGTGTGGCTTAGCCATGTAGCACAGGCTGTAGGGCGGCGGGGGTGGAATAGTCTGCCGGGTGGCTGAAAGACCCCTCCTGGGCTCCTTTTTAGCAAGCCCAGGTAGCCCAGGTAGCGGAGCCGTTCAGCCACAGTCAAGCCACACACGAGTGACGAACTTATGAGCCAATACGAGCCAAGGTAATATTACAGGACAAGGTCATCCAAGACCATGACCTCACCCCCTTGTAAGGTAGTCCTTCATAAACAAAGCTTCAGGTAAAACGGGGCTGTTTTCTTGATAAATAACTTGCTCCTCATGACGCGTTGAGTTGTTACCATATAAACTTCTAGCTTTTGTTCTTCTTGACTCTCCTTAATTCTACCGCAAATTTTAAGGCTGTCTTGTCTTACACGCCCCGTCTCATCCTAGCTTTCGCGAACTACCCCCTTATTGTTTTGGTGTCCCCTTTTAGAGGGAGTCGTCATCATGGCTGTTCAAACGAAGGCCGCAAAGCTATCCTCAGTCGCTCTGAGGATAAGCGCTCTCATATTCTTCAGACTTGTAAGTGGTTCATACTTCCTAGCGTAAGAAAGTGCTGACCATAGACTACAGTTCCCAGTAAGCTCAAGCTCAAGAAGCTTTAATCTGACCAACTAACCGAATCCTCCAGGCACATTTCCCTTCAATCGCGTTTGCGCTTTTTGCAATCTATGTTCCTTCTTACATTTCGAGTTACTTCGCTCAGCCAGAGATTGGAGTTCTCAAGGATGAAGTCGACGTCACTGTGAAAGAGTCCACAATCACCTCTGAAACTCCCTTATTAACAGAGGATGGTGTCGCAGTCGCACCTGAGGCTGAGGTTGTTGCCGAGGTTGTCGACATTGAGGAGAAGCTTACGGTTGGAGAGAAGGTTCCCAGCATCGCGAATATCCTCTTGTCCGGAGCTCCCAGTGCTAGGCGCCCAATTGCGTCAATCTCGACCTTCCTCATCAACGCCATTCTTATCGGCTTGACAGCTGATGCTTTATTTCGTGCAAGGTGGTATTATCCTTCTGATGACCTTTCTTTTGTTAGACTTGGATATGTGTCACCATCAGAGGCAAGGTTCGTCATTCGTGAGCCCGATCAGTTGCAAATGCCCATCACATTCGAATATCACATCAAGGATGATGAGCCGACCTATGACACCAAGATTTGGCTCACTGCAGGCTACGTCACTTCGACTGACAACAGCACCGATTTTACCACTACTCTTACAGTGCCACTTGACTCCGCGAAGCAGAACATCTACGAGTGGAGGACTTCCAACAACCACACCGGCGAGTTCCGCTCTGCTCCCAAGATTGGAGAGATGCCCAACACCAAGGATGGCCTTTTTACTTTCCTCTCCACATCTTGTATTCTTCCTCGATTTCCCTACAACCCAATGGAACATGCTTTGGCTATCCCTGGCTTGAGGAATCTTGCAGGTCTACTTCCTAAGTTGGATCCTCAGTTCATGCTCTTCCTCGGCGACTTCATCTATGTTGACGTCCCTGAACGCTTTGGAAAAACGACTGAAGAGTATCGCATGCAATACCGCCAAATCTATGCTTCACCTGACTGGGCCCCTGTTGCACAGAATCTGAGCTGGATTCATGTGCTCGATGACCATGAGATCTCCAACGATTGGTCTTCTAACACAACTGGCATCTACAGCGCGGCTGTTGACCCTTGGCACATCTACCAAGCCAATGTCAACCCACCGATTTCTGAAGCTGCAGGTCCTCTCAACCTGAGACGTAATGCCACATGGTACGAGTTCACGCAGGGACCAGCCAGCTTTTTCATGATGGATACTCGCAGCTATCGTTCCAGCAACAACGCCCCTTTCAATGCCACGGACAAGACCATGCTAGGCAAGGAGCAATTGGCTGACCTTCTGGCATGGTTGGAGCGTCCTGCTCCCCAAGGAGTTCGATGGAAGTTCATTGCTTCTTCTGTTCCTTTCACTAAGAACTGGCCTATAAATGTGAAGGATACCTGGGGTGGTTTCCTTGCCGAGAGAAAGCAAGTCCTTGAAGCTATGTGGGATTCTGGTGCTCGAGGCGCCAGTGTCGTTATCCTCTCTGGAGATCGTCATGAATTCGCCGCAACCAGATTTCCACCCCCCATTGACTCGCGATGGCCACAGTCTGCTGCTGCTCACGAGTTTTCGACAAGTCCTTTGAACCAATTCGCTTCTCCATTCCCAACGTACAAGCAGACAGATGACGAGGATATTATGATGAAGTAAGTCTATGCTCCATTGAACAAGACATGGTCACTAACAAATATCAAGCTATATCCCTGGAGGCAAGTCCAAGTTCGGATCCTTTTCTATTGAGAAACTTGAGAACGGCGGGAGCTCACTGCACTACACCCTTTACATCGACGGAAAGGAAACCTGGAAGACAACAGTGGAGGCCCCGGATGCGCCTGAAGCAGTTCCTGCTGAGACGGTCGTGTCCCCATCGCTGTGGGACAAGCTCAGCAAGTTCTTTTAGATGTTAGATCTTTACAACAGAGGGGGGTCCAATATTCAGTTTTTGAAAACTATAGCACTATTTAATACCACTCTTTTCACGTTAGAATCCTTTTTCAACACCGAACCAGGATGTAAACAATACCATAGAGTAATACCTGCTATTCAAATTATCACACTCAGCCTGTACCGAGACCTCTTAGATACGGCCCCACTAGCATCGGCCCCACAGTCCATCCACAGAAGCTTAGCTCACCGCCCAGGCCCACCCCTCCACTGGCCAGAAAATTTCCCCGGCAAAATTCTCAAAAGTTTTGACGTCCAATTCAGATCCGCGACGATTTGCACCGCAAGCGTTGAATATCCCAGCTTCATCAATTCAACACAAACATTTCACAATGGCCGGACCTGGAAACAAAAAGAAGAGACAACACGACGGTCGTCTACAACGGCCCTCAAAGAAGCAAAAGAGAAAGCAACTCCGAGATTACAACAGTGACTCTGAACCCGAGGAGGCGCAAGAGTTTGACGCTGTAAATCTGCTTGATTCAGACGACGATATTCACAATGTCAAGGTGGACGATGTTGGCGACTCCGAAAATGAAGTTTCAAGCTCAGAAGACGAGGGCGCTGTAACAAATAAGCCCCTGAAGAAGACAAAAACAAACGCCAAGAATACCAGAGACAGCAAACCAGAAGCCGAATCCGACGAAGGGGAAGACGATGATGACGATGAAGGGTCAGATGATGACGATGAGGATGGCGCGTCCACAAACAAACGCAAAAAGTCGAAGCGAAACGACCCCAATGCTTTCGCAACATCGCTCTCCAAGATTCTCTCCACCAAGTTATCATCGTCCAAGCGATCAGATCCTGTCCTCGCCCGAAGTGCCGCAGCACACGAAGCCTCCAAGGCCGCTGTCGACAGCGCCTTAGAATCTAAGGCGAAAAAGCAGATGCGCGAGCAGAAGAAGCGAGCTTTCGAGAAGGGCCGTGTAAAGGATGTTCTTATCGCTACCACAAACGACGCCACTGGAGAGCTCGAGACATCGACATCCGAGATTATGGAGACAGAGAGGAGGCTACGAAAGGTTGCGCAGCGTGGTGTTGTCAAGCTGTTCAACGCCGTTCGTGCCGCACAAGTCAAGGCTGTTGAAGCTGAGAAGGGTGTGAAAAAGGAGGGTGTTATCGGTATGAAGAAGCGAGAGGAAAAGGTCAATGAGATGAGTAAGAAGGGATTCCTGGAATTGATCGCTTCAGGCGGTGGTGGGTTAAAAAAGGGAGCGCTTGAGGAGGCGTAATATCATTTCAGTGTGTTCATTTCTTTCTTTCGTTTAAGAGGAGTAGTGGAATCACCAGGCCGTGCTCTTCCGGCCTTACAACTAAATGTCACAACAAAGATACCCCGTATGATGCACCTGAATCCCCGCCATCGCCCGGTCTTTTCCAAATACAGTAGTTTTACAAGTACAGAGTTTTCCTCATCTCATATCAAAACATGTGCTTCATTAAGCTTCTTAACTGAAATCGCTCGCTTGCAGGTTCCTTGTCATAGATGGCAGCTTCACCACTAGGCCGTCTAGCTCCTTGGTCATCTTAACTTGGCAGCCCAATCGACTCGTCTCGGTGAGTCCAAAGGCCAGGTCCAGCATATCGTTCTCGTCATCCTCGGGCTCGGGCATCTTGTCGAAATATGCGTCGTCGGCAACGATAACATGGCATGTCGAGCAGGCGCAAGATCCTCCGCATGCGCCCTCCATCTCTAGATCGTTTGCTTGGGCGATATCGAGAAGGTTATCCCCCTCAGAAACAGCAAACTTGTTCTCTGTGCCGTCCTTCTCGATGAATGTGACATAAAGTCTAAGTAATGTCAGCCGAATGCTTTCCAGTTGGGATTTTAGGTTCAACATACTCTTCACCGGGCTTCGGGGGGTCAATATGTCCATGGCGCCGTTGTGTCGTGGTAGTAAATGCTCTATGGGAAACAGGCGAGAAGCGAGTAAATCGAGAGATTGTAGGAGATCGACCCTTGGACGTCCGAGACAGTACATTCTGGCCAAGTCGCATTGACTGTATTGTTCGTGGTGCCGTAGCCGGGAGCTTGGCCAAGCAAGTCGCAAAGGATCGTGACGCAGACATAGTTTCGGCGAATTCGGGATATTGGCGGGGTTCTCGTCGAAAATTAATGGAGGAATTGAGGGGCTCGAGCGTTATATGTTCAATGACAAGCTGTACGGTCCTTCAGTTGAAGAGGGAAAGTGTTGAAACGCTCTAGATGCGCCAATTTCGGTCAATGGACGCTTATGCCCCCGTCTCGTCCTCTCACGTCCAAGGTGATATTAAGCAAGCCCGAAAAAAAGTGAGTAGCTTCGGATAGCGGATCAGCAAAACAGCGCTTTCGGCCGGGAAATTCATTGGCCGGAGTCCGACGTCTAACTCCGGGTGGCCGGGGTGGGGCCATTGGCAGGCATGATTTCATTTTCTCTGGTGAGAATCGGGTAACGTTGGAGCTCTCAACTGTCGCATTTTCTCTATAATTATTTTTTATAGAGGTTTATGTCGTCGTGTTGTCTCGGCCAACCATGTCGACTCACAGAGAAGGCGTCAATCCCTTGAGGCCGTACTACATCCCTCCCACAATTGGAGAAGCCGCCGAGACAGTCAATAAGTCGAGCCCTAGCCCAAACCCATTCCCCGATGGACGACATGTGACTGCAGCTGGTGAAAGATATGCCTCCAAAGCACGCGATATTCTCTCCGACCTCGAATACAATGATTATCTAGGCGATACCTCCCCGTCTATGGTCCAGAATGTCAAGGACCTTATCGACGAGCTGCTATGGAAGTACACCTCAGTGCTCATGGCCCAACCTTTCGAGGTGGCAAAGACATTGCTTCAGGTCCGGAACCAGGATGAAAATGCTGTATATGAAACTCCTGTTGAGCCGGAGACGCCTAAGAGACAGCCCTCTTTTCATGGAAGCTCTATGTACGGCGGTGTAAGTGAATTTCGAGCTTGGTGGGAGGTACACCGCTAAATCATAACGCATAGTTCGGAGACTCAGATTCTGAAGGCGAGGAACCTGCCTATTTCACATCTCACGTACCATCGACTCCCAGTCCTTCGACTCCTAGAAGCTCGCACGGTCGACGAGCTCCCTCTCCTGTTAAGAAACCGAATGTTCCGGAACATTACCTCACACTTCGCCGACCAGATTCGATTCTTGAAGTGATCGGGCAGCTATGGGGAAAAGAAGGTGCTTGGGGTGTATGGAAGGGATCAAATGCAACATTTCTCTATACGGTGTTGCAGTCGCTGCTGGAAAACTGGGGTAGAAGTTTTCTCAGTGCGATTTTCAATGTCCCGGACATGGGCGTTAGAGAGGACATTGATCGCATGATCGATATCGCCTCGCCGTATCCTTGGGCGTCGCTCTTTGTTGCCGCGACTGCTGCCGTGGCTACAGGACTCGCTCTCTCACCATTAGACTTGGTGCGAACTAGGTATGATCTATCGCATCTTGTTTACAAAAGCAAAACTAATATTGGCTAGACTTATCGTCACTCCGAGCTCAAACGGCCAGCGCAGGACGCTAGCCACCCTCAGAAACCTCCCCTCATACCTCTGCTCGTCGATGCTAGTATTGCCAACCGTCCTCAACTCATTGATCCATCCTCTTATCACTCTCTCAACACCCCTGGTTCTCCGAACTCAGTTCATGATCGACAGCCAGGTCTCGCCAATGACCTTTTCTATCGCCAAATTTGTCGCCTCATCATCTGCAATCCTGCTCAAGCTTCCTATTGAGACTGTCCTTCGACGTGGTCAGGTTTCGGTTCTGTCAAGCCACGAATATGTGCAAGCACTTAGCGGTCCTGACCAACAATTCACAACTATTGTCCCCCCAGGACGTTATGAAGGCACTTTTGGCACCATGTTCCATATCGTGAACGAAGAGGGAACTCACGAGGTCGCCAGCACGAAACCAGCCGTAGCAAAGAAAGGCAAGGCTAAGACTAAGGGTGTTGCCGCCACAGTCTACAAGGGCCAGGGTCGCGAGGGACTCTGGAGAGGCTGGAAGGTCAACTGGTGGGGACTTGTTGGTCTTTGGACTGCCAGCGTGGTTGGCCATGGCGGGGAAGGCGAGTTCTAAGACGGCACAATGATGAATGTTTGTGGTGTATGCACTGAGGTGCATTTTCCTGGCATGGCGTTGCGGTTGGGATGTATCTCTCCCCTACGAGCTTGACGAAGAGACGGCATGATATCCACCTCCATCTTTCTAAAAATGGTGTAAAATGACAAAAGGGGTTGTTTTCTAGTAGTTCACAATATTTATATCCAAACGACAGATCACAACTCTTGAATATCTTACGAATTTCTGTTCACTTGACAGTCAAGTGAGATTTCGGCTTGATAGATTTCTTTTGCTTAGCAAGCTAGGTGCTGAGCCTGCCCTTAATTTCAGTCTTTCTCGACTGCCCGATCCGATGCTCTCATACTTGTCAGCCAGCCTTCGGCATCCCGGGACTCTAATTCAGCCGTCTCAACTCCAAGTGGCGTACGGGTTGCTGCAGGTCATTGACCAACGCCTCTCCAATGAGTACGCACAGTCGGAATACCCCATATTGAAACAACGGCTGCAAGCCCCTGTCATGTTCTGTTCCGTTTGCATGCAGATAGAAACAGCACCCTATTCGTCTAGAGACCAAGTTGACGCCTTGGTTCAGCCTCTTCCCCCTGATTCAAGCAGTCATAATACGGCGTTCACCGCTGACTCTAGTTTCTCGTCTGATGTATCTCCTACTGTGGCTGTTTCTTGGCCCTGTGGAAATCTTGTCTGGGAATGTTGTACAGATCAGGGGATAAAGGTTGACAGCCGAAGGGGAGACCAATCATGATACAGCCGATACATCCTTCGGGTGTTGATTCGCCAAGAAACAGGATAACTACATCGGAGGAAAGCTCCTATGTGCCTTTAATCAAGGTAAGGTTATCGTTGGTGTGGAGGAGATGCAGGGGGGTTTCAAACGCAGATATTCAAATGAAATTTGATAGTCCCAGCTTCAGGTATAAAATCTGAGTGATTTCCCAAGGTTAGGAGGAGTGAAAAACGCAGAGCATTTCCTTCATCCAGTTCCAACACTCTTTCTTTGACTACACACTCATTGACATTTCTCAACTTCTGTCGTTATCTTCACCATGAGCCTTCTCTCCGAGATGACTCGTTTCAAGGCCGCTTGCTGGCTTGCCCTTCTTCTTCCTGCAATCACCGTTTCTGCCCATGGTCATGTTGATGAGATCATCATCAACGGTGTGTCTTATCAAGGCTATGGCAGCACTGACTTTCCTTACATGGAGAACCCGCCTGTCGTTGCTGGCTGGACCATCTCGCAGCGAGACAATGGTTTCGTTTCTCCTGAAGCCTATGGCGATTCTGATATCATCTGCCACCGCGATGCCACTCCAGCCGAGGGCCACATTGAAGTCACAGCAGGCGATGTCATCACCCTCCGATGGTCAGGCTGGCCTGAGAACCACATAGGCCCTGTCTTGAACTACCTCGCCAATTGCAAGGGCCCTTGTGAGCGAGTTGACAAGACTGAGCTTGAGTTCTTCAAGATTGATGGTCTGGGTCAACTTGAACAGGGCACTCCTGGCAGGTATGCAGACAGCGTTCTTCAAGAGAATGGATACAGGTGGAACGTCCGGATTCCAGAGAACATCGCATCCGGGAACTACGTTCTTCGACACGAGATCATTGCTCTGCACAATGCTCTTGAGCGAGGCGGTGCCCAAAACTATCCACAATGCTTCAACCTCCGAATCACGGGTGATGGTTCCGACTCCCCCTCTGGGTACCTCGGTACCGAGCTTTACGACATCGAAGATCCGGGCATTCTTGTCAATGTCTACTCCAGCTCTGTTGACTATGAAGTTCCTGGCCCAACCATCGTTGAAGGAGGGGTATCGTCTGTTGAGCAGAGCCCTTCCAGAGCTACGACGACTGCAAAGTGTACCACTCGGTACTAGACTGATTGTTTATGGCAGGCTTGGTTTCTAATCGAGGGTGGTTGCTGATATCTTTGTGACTTGTGTTGTTTGTCGATGGTGTCTCTTCTTTGGGGCGAGGCTCTTTATGGGTACCAAATATTGAAATAAAGTTCTTTGTATCAGTTCAACAAGAGGCTTTTCTTTCTAGCACTGGTCCCTGATTCCCATGGTCTTCGTTTACCGAAATATCCTCAGTCAAGTGTTACAGCAGGCTGGAGACTTGGTTTCATAGGAAGATGTGATACGTTAGGTCTCCATTTCCAGTCGTCAAAGAACTGCATTACCATCCACAAAGACGACAAGACGAACACTGAGCATATGGGAATAAAAAATTCTTACTAATATCTAGCAGAGAGTAAAACTAAAAAAACATATTTGCTCGCATTAATTCATGGCCATCTCCAGGGCCGTTCCAGTGTAGGGTAACTCACCAGTCGTGGCATTTAACATTAAAGCCCCACGTGATCTGGCGTTTTGTATGTCACGTCGCTCAAAGAACCCTTTCTCTATTTGCCTTTACTTATGTCAACTTAATTCTTTGTTCTCGAAGATTGCCCCCCCCTTTAGCTTTAAGGCTCATCAATACTTGATTGGCAAATTGCGCTATGCGCTGATCTTCAAGATTCATCTCCGCGCTCGCACGACGCGCGCTGTCACATCTCCTTTTCAATATCTTGCGCCTCAGCAGATACCACCAACATCATGGCGCAATCAGGTGTCGAACAACCACCGTTGAATGGCGAAAAAGCGCCTGCTCCTGAACCGCGCAAATTCAAGGCCTCAGATCTTCCTCTACCTTCCGCGACAAGAGCAGCAATAGAATCGCTTGCCCATAGCTTCAAGAAGGAGGGAGCCTACGATTCTATTCGAAAACAAGTTTGGGACAAGTTTGAAGCCAGCGTATGATGAGATAGGAACACATGCGCAATGCCATACTAATGCATAATTAGGATTACGAGGCGCAGGTCACAAAATCGATTCTCGAGGTGGCCGAGCAGGAAATTGAGCGCAACCCACAGCAGCTTCTCACACTTGACCGGAGAAAGGCTGCAGCTCTAATCGATGGCGCTCTAGAGAGATCTGGGGTTTATCACAAAGCTGAAGATGTCATTAGCCAGCTGATCGATGTGGGCGCCATAGAGGAGCGAATCCGCGAAACACGCCGGGCCGAAGTCGGCGAGGAAGCAGCTGAGGCAGAAAAGCTTCGAGGCGCCAAAACAGACGAAGAATATGAGGCTGAGACTGAGGCTCGACGTGCGGAGCGTGAAAAAGTTCGGGAAGAACTGCGACAAAAAGAGGCTGCAATCGAGGAGGAGAAACGGAGGATCCTCAAAGAGGAACGAAAGAAGGAAGAGCGAGAGCGAGAGAAAGCTGAAATCAAACGCCAGGAAGAAAGAGATGAGCGTCGTCGAAAGCGCGAACAAGAGCGCGAGGAACGTGAAAGACTCCGAGATATTGAAAGAGAAAAGCGACACAAAGAGCGCGAGCGTGATAGGGACCGAGACCGTGACACAAGGGATAGAGATAGAGACAGGGACAGGGACAGGGACAGGGACCGCGATCGGGATAGGGACCGAGACCGAGATCGCGACCGGGATCGTCATCGTGATCATGACCGACATAGGGATGATCGCCACAAGGAGAAACCAGCGGTCTCTACAGAGCTGAAAGAGAAGCTCTCCAAAGAAGAACACGACCGACTGGAGCAAGAGGCTCTGGCCGATCTGCTCCGCGAAAGCTCCAAGCCAGCCCAAAAGCAAGAGTTGGAGATTGATTCTTCCCTCGCACCGCCGCCACGCAAAACGGGGCCCGTTTCGGCTATCAACCCGATCAGGCGAGAACGTTCGTCGATTGCAGAGGGCCGCAAAACCAGCGATGCAGGGCTCGGAGCTGAACGGGATGGCCCTGGAACACCTGCACAGGCCAAGAGACCTGACGCGGACGATCGAGAGCCGAGTCGTAGTGCTTCTCGGATCGTCGACCGCGATGGGGATCGCGAGAGAGATAGAGAACGTGATCGCTTAAGGGAACGAGATTCTCGTCGCGATAGACGCTCAAACTCCCCACGCAGAGGCATCAGTGGTTCGCGTGTTCGGGACAGACGTGACAGAAGCCGGTCTCGAGCTAGAAGGGAGAGGACTCGTTCACGAACTGGCAGAGAGGACCGTGCTGTTAGAAGCCGATCACGACCCAAGTATGACCACTACGAGCGAAGCAGATCCCGAAGGCGTGATCGTAGCCGTTCTCGACCTAGAGTGGTCGAGCGAAGAGAGAGAAGCCAATCTAGACCTAGACCCGAGCGCCGAGATCGAAGCAGAGACAGAAGGGACCGCTCACGACTGCGCTCTGATAGACGGGATAGGAGCCGTTCCCGTACTCGACGTGATCAGAGCAGGTCTCACGACACTCGCCTTGGTGGAGCTGATCATTATGATCCTCGAGAAAGAGACCGTGAACGAGACAGAGACCGACCTCGTGACCGAGAGCGCGGCCGCGAGAGATCTCCTCTGAGACGCAGAAGCCGAGAAAGGCCTGGTAACGACCGTGATCAAGCAAAGCCTCGCGAGAAGGAACAGGAAAAAGCGGCCCCCGAGAAAGAACGGGAAAAGGAAAAACCAAATGAGCGTCGTAGTCGCTCTCCCTCACGAGCCACCGCCACCGCCGCACGACCGAGCTCCAGCAAAGCTCAGGATGGCCTTGAGGAGTGGAAGATGGAAGAAGTCAGAAAGCGGGAAAAAGAAGCCAAGGCTTATCTGGCGGCTCAGAAGGACGCCAGGAATAAAGGCCTCCCAATCCCTGGACTCGACGATAAAAAAAGCAGTGGTGAAATATCTCCTGACATACGCCGCCGCCGGATTCAGGACGATATTGACAGATACACGCCTGGAGGTCGTGAGGAGCGGAGGAGAAGTCGTTCCAGGAGCCGCAGCCGACAACGTGATGCAACAAAAGATCGAGACCGGGAAAGAGAAAGAGACAGAGACAGAGATAGAGGTGATCGTGATAAGCTGAGGGGTGGAGATAGCTATCGCGAGCGAGATAGGGACAGAGATCGTGATAGGGACCGAGACCGAAGAGACAGGGACAGAGATCGCGATACGGATCGACGTGATCGTGAAAGGGATCGTGAAAGAGAACGATCGAGGGATAGGAGGAACAGGCGAGAGCGTAGTCTATCTCCTCGACGAGAAAGGCGGGGAAGTAGAAGCCGCCGTTGATAATGAGTTGGTTTTCACCTCATAACAATTACACTTTTGGCAGTTTTCAGGAGTATTGGAGGTCTAGCCATATAGCTGGAAGTTCGTTTGCCATGGGTTAGGTGGTTTAATAAGATACCCCTTTAAGCATGAATTGATACCATCATAGCAGGGCTCTTCGACCAGTTTAGCATCACAGCTCTACGACAGATGGGATACATAAGTTCATTGAAACGTTTGATCATTATTAAAAGTCTATATATAGTGCCTAAGTGAAATCGTCATCAATGGGCAAACCAGGACGAGGTCACCCGAGTTACATGCTCGCTAGATAGCCCGTGATAATGCCATAACGCGCCAGCAATTATCACGGTGATGAAACCCAAACATCCAATCATGATGGCTTTGCGTAAAGTAGGAGACATCTCGCCCTCTCGATTTAGGGTACCGGTACCCCATGCAACCGCTTCTTCCCACATGTTGAGGAGTTGTTCGTAACCGATCGAATATAGAACAAGACCCATAAGGGCAACGGCGTATCCCAGTGTTTGTGTAAGGGAGATGTGAGTACCCCAAAGCACAACAGAAGCAGCCACGAGAAGGATGCTCTTAAGAATGCCACTCAGAGTCATGACAAGTCCTGATGTTTTACCGATCTGAACAGGAGTTAGCAGTGAAAGTGAATCGCGGGGGATTGGATTCTGGCTTACAAGGAAGACACTGATGACATTCAAGAAGAATGCAAGGCAAGCATTGGCAAGCAGTACGCCATAACCGGCTTGAGCTGCATCTTCCCACTTAAATCGGGGGCCTTCACTGAACAAGACAACGACCATGTTCATAAGGGTACAAACAGGTGCGTAATAGTAGAGGCCGACAAGAGGATCCATACGGAGACCCTCGGCACTGAGCATGACCTGAATCATGACAACACGCACGGCTTCGGCAATGGTGCCACACATCTGAAAGATAAAACCCCACCAGGAGAACTCGATCTCTCCAAAACTGGAAATGGCGACACCAGCAACAATGAGCATGATGTTGCCAAATGTCTTACTATCCGGCTGAGCAACACCCCACACCCACGAAGCCACGAGAGTGCAGACAGGGCCGGTAGATTTGAGCATCTGAATAAAAGCAACAGACAGGTAGAGGTACACGATGTTGGAAAAGACGAGTGAGGCGGAGTAGAGGACGCCGATAGGGAGAATGGTCCGTATGTAGAGTCGTCGAGTGATTGGGAGTGAATGGCGTGAATCGAGAAGAGTAGTAGTGCGAGCAAGCAGTTGCGTTGCTATTGTTGCAAAAACAAGATGCCATGTTGTGAGGATGATAGCTGGTAGCTTGTTAGTTTCACGTCATGATGCACTATGCATGAACAAGTAGAATACTCACGATATCCTATAAGGGTAAGTTAGCAAACGAATTCAATTTTGACGACTTGATCGATAGCAGGAAACTTACGGAATCCAGCAGTGTCAATTAGCCACTTGTTGAAGAGAATCGTGGTGTTGGAAAAGAAAATCCATGTTCTGTTCAAACATCATGTTAGACATCCCCGCACATATAGAACTTATCCACATCTAGAGTTCACATACATTATGTAGACGGACGCGTGTATTCTCGAACCTGTTCCCTGGTTTAGAGGCTTTTCTGAGAATCCATTGTCGACAGCCTCAGACCCACGCGACATCCTGTTGTTGGCCTCCAGATCATTTGATCCCGCCATTGTTTCGAGTGTCTCAGTTTAAAAGTTAACAATGCTTCGATTTCGTTTCTCGAGTTTGGGAGGAGTAAGAAGTGATCGATGCCTTGCTGACTGTCGTCGGAGACACGATACAGCGCGTAAATAGTGTAAAGCCACCTGGAGCTAGACCCAAACTCTCCTCTTCGAGTGACGTATTATCCAAGGGAGAGCAGGGAGAGCAGGGAGAAAAAAGGTCGAGAATCCAAAAAGAGAGAGGAGAAGAAAAGGGACCGAAAGTAAAGAAAAAGAAATTCGGTGTCTTAAGAGGCTGGAAAGAGAGAGTTCGATGATGAGGAGGTCTCACAAGACAAGTCGAATAGCACGGTTTGGGAAAGTGGCTGGTCGAGCAACTTCCTGTTGGTGCAAGCGGAAGCTGATCTGATGCGAGCTTGTTAGTTGCGACTGCCTTTATTAGTGATGTGATCGATCTGTGTATGAAAGCAGGAAGCTTCATATACGTCGTTCTTTGTTCTCAGAATTATTTGCTTTTAGATTTATTGCAAAAAAACAAAGAAACAGAAGCAGAGACAAAAGTAGGAGATAACCTTCAAAATTTCGACAAGGCACCACACACGTGGGTTCATCGTACTTATTAACAAAACACGATACAATCGCAGTCAAGGATGTACGTTTTCTCATCGCGCTCAGCCTCGAAATGGGCCTGCCCCTAGCCAAACGTCGGCTCAATGTTGCCGATCTCTGACATAGACAACCCAACATCGGCTCCCAAACGAACAAATCCTACGACTTAACGCCCTGCTCTTCAGACAAAGACGCCGAGTTCCAACCAACAACTGGGTCAAAGAGCGGAACTAATACGTCAACAGACCCTCGTGAAAGAATTCCCCGTCGTTCGTCTTACTCCTCGTACCTGCCAAGCAAGTTACGCTCAAACCTATCATCACAGGCGAAGCTTTTCCAGTGCAAAGGGGCGCAGGGCAAATCGTCCCACAAGGCAAAAGCTGGCTAGACGGCAAGGCAAGCCCATGCGGATCAGCACCTAGGGGGCATGGATGTCAGAGACCCTATCCCGGGGGTTTCTGTTTACGGATTGACCAATCAGGCTGATGCCTTGACACAGCTAAGCGTTGTCCCCTGGTTGGCACAGGAAGCTTGGCATAATTGCGAGCTGTTTATACGAGGAGACCCTCCTTGTTCTAGATTTCATCTGTAACCACCTAACTTGTTTGGTCCTCTGGACTGTGGGACTGTGAGAGCAGGATGAACAGAAAGCACATGGCAGCTGTCAATTCTCCCTTTGATCGGTCTTGGCCGAGTACGTAGCACCTCACAGACCAGGTCCTCGAAAGTTGAACTGGCTCTAATCTGATGGGGCCACTAACAGTTATACGAGCTGTTGAATTCCTCCAGAATTGCGATGTTCATTGCATCTGAGGAATTATGCCAAGGGACTTGCATATCGATGACATCTCATATTGTCTCTAACTAGTATTTTCCTCAACATGACACATTTAGCAGATATTCAGAAACTCACCATCAACTTAGACGCCCTCCTTACTAGTTGCCGATATAACCGCGGAGTGAAGTTTATCCCGCTTCTTCAGGAGGTTGATCAACCAACTGACACTACAGAATACCACTACGCATTTTCCCTCGGCGTCCTGCCGTTATTGTTTCGGCACTCCGTCGGGTCCGTTCCCACTGAAGTGGGCCAAACCGCTTCTCGACTCTCTATTCTCGGCCCTTCAGTGCCGGCACCATATTTATAACTTTTTTTGGCCTTTCCTTCACTGAAACATATTAACCCATTCATCCAAGCGAGAAACAACAATTTCGGTTAACAATTCAATTCTGGCTTGTGACAACGATCGGTTTGCTGCGCCGAGAAACCTGTCTATGCATTATAATCCTGTGCACAGAGTACCACCATTGGTATCAACCCTTATAATAACCTAACTAACTTCAATACAACATGCCCTTTGAACCGCTTTCTCTCTCTATCCCAGACCCTTCTTACAATAAACAGGTATGCCAACCATTGTTAACTGGTTCTTCAACGCCATCGCTATGCTTTTGAATAAAACCCATAAATGACACCAAGCGTGTCTGCTCTTCGCTTGTTGCGCGCCGAGACTTGAAGCCTTGTCTACTCATGCACCGCCTCTTCCTTTCCAAATTCCATCCTTCAGCTTTACAATGCATTATGGCGCAACATGAACCAATGGAGCTGTATTGGTGATCAGATTAGAGCCGCGCGTTGTCGTTTCAACGGCAGCCTGATCATTTGCGATGCATGACGTGGCGTCTTCTTCCAAATTCGATGCCCCCTCTGGCTTGCCATTGGACGTTTGAGTTTCGTGCCCCTGGGTTATTTGAGCCGTGTTGTCCGTTGCACTGGCCAGCCCGGTTGCGGCACCAAGATCTGCAACCTCATTGGCATCTTGCATACTTTCGTCTTGATTGTTCATAGCCATCGTAGAGTCCACACAGTCGTAAAAGAGCATAAAGACGCCGGGGGAAAGGCTAAGCACTACATCCTCGCTAACCTTTGAGACGTTGTGATCGCTCAGCCTCCACCAGTCCATCTCAGGTTCATCGATGTCGTTCTCTTGATTCTTTGATTCGAGCTCAGGCTGAATATCCACCTTGCTATCAGGTTCCTCATCGTCAACTGTTTTGACAGGCGGGCTATGTCGTGGATATCTGCGATAACAGATGTAGTGCCCGTTCTCGTGCCGCCCATAGTGTGTCACCACTGCTCGAAGCTCATAGATAGGTCCCGTAAATTTGGATGAGCCTTGGTCGCCAGCTATCATTGATTCTCGAGGGTCCCCGTCCCATTTCTCCTCTGCACTCGATGCCTGGGTTGAGGAATTGGGGGCACTACCCAAACACCACGGGCCAAGATCCAGTGTCATGGGAAAGTTGACTGGAGCCGAGTTCTTCATCATGTTGAAAGTAGAAGGATCAAACACCGATCGTTGCATGTGGATTGCCAAGCTTTTTGGCGCTCGAGAAATCACAATCTGCTTGGTCTTCGTAGAGCTGACTTTGTTATTAGCCGGAATGCTGCACTTTTCCGTCAGAGTTTTTTCCTCAAAATCATCTTCTTCCAAAGCTAGCTTCACTGCCTCAAGTCGGTGCAGAGCTTTTTGGAGCTGCTCGTCTGGCGTCCCGTTGTGTCGCATCCTGTCTACCAACTTAGACAAAAGGTCTTCATGCTTCAGAAGGGTACACTTGGCACACTCGACGTTCTCGATCGCTTCCACTTTGCTGTAAGCGTCCAGCCTTTCATACAGGTCATGCTGATTCTTGTTCAAACCAAGACTCAGTGTCAAGCATGTGAAAGGTATCATGGATAACCCCTCGGAATGTTCACACCGAACACAGGCCACTCTTTGTGCGAGCATACCCTCCAACGGATTGTGACCCGACTTGATCTCGGGTGCAGTTATTATGCTTTGATAGCCACTATCGTCGCTATGCTCACTTACAGCAGCGTCGTCTTTATCAATCTTAAAGGCCAGACCGGGATGTTGAGGCTGCGCGTTCTTGATAGCCTTTGCGACACTCTTATCGATATCGTCTAATAATTTAGAGTAGTATTCTTGAGCATCCTGTTGAGTCCATGTGCTCATAGACTTGAGCAGACTTGGAGTCCATAACGTGCGTCCATAATTCGAAACGTCGTTCAGGTCGGCGATCAGGGTCCGTAATGTTTGCGCAACGTCTTGATCGCCACTTTTATTCGATGCTTCAAGATAGGTGGAGAGGTATTCAGGTAGAGGTTTGAGTGATGAAAGTCCTTGGAGGATGCTATTCTGGTAGCATGAGTTGTCCATATTGCCAAGACCTGGTGGACGATCGGATTCGGTCTTCAAGCCCAAAACGCTGCCGGTCATGGAGAGGGCGCGGTTTCTAACTTCAAAGACTGAGGACATGACGCCGCCGGGACGAGTCAGCCCCAAGACCCTCCGCATCTTGTCGCTTTTGACGGCATGGTGGCTTCGTTCGACGAGACACATTGACTCGGAGGTTGTGATTGTAGTGGAATTGTCGGGTGTATCCAAGGCATTCAGGAGGCTCTCAGGGACAATGAATACAAGACCGTCCCAAAGACTGGTTCCCAAAAGCTGTATTGATTCTTGAAAGGTGGTGGTTGAAGCATATAAGTTGTATGTAATAGTGACGACAACGATGAGACAAGAGATTAGGACACTCGGTTGGGTGATGCGATCCCAAGGATTCTGTTGTGGAAAGAGCTGTCGATGAGCTGCCACTTGATCGTCGTAGAACTCGTCGAAGTCAGGATGTTGAGACGTCATGCTGTATTGGAGGTCGGATTAACCTCCGCCTAGAAATTCGAAGTCGCAGCTCAGCTCGAAGTGTCTTAGCCTCGGACCCGTGATCAGGAAAGTAGTGGTAGAATATTGGTGCCGATCGAAAGGTAAGCCATGGCCTAGCTGCGTGGGCGTGAAAATGCGACAGAGAAAATTGATGCGATAGCGATCGGTATGGTGGTTGAAATGATGCAGTCGGCAGAAATATATAATTGGAGACGCCACTTGAGGAGGCGAGAAAATTGGCAGAATAAGAGGCAATTGCGACAATGAGATGTGATCGTGTTGGAACAGCCTGTGTTGAAATTGATACAACATTGCGTCTTTGCGTTAGTGGATTCTAAAACAATAAGACAGTGCTGTCTCATATTTTACACTGTACAATGTACCTGCATCGTAGTCTTATCTTGTCGTGGCTTTTTAGAATGTTAGTACACGGTAATTTACTATGTATAGAAGATGCTAGAAATCACAAGATACACCACAGAGACATCCGTTAATGATATTTGTAATCTTGTAAATGGAAATTCCAGAGTCTCTAACAAAACTGACAATCCCACGATGGATGACATATCTTTCACCTCCAAAATCACAAATCATGAAGATAGCTGGGTAGGAACAAAGAAAAGGAGTAGACAAATCGTGAAAAAAACATATTATCTATGTACAAGAAAGGTAGACCGTTCATCGTTTTGCATATCATGTTCATCATAATGTTTTTTTTTTCTTTCTCTTTTTTTTTCCCTTCCCTGTTCAAACCAGTCATTGCCGTTTGGCTGGAACGATGTAAGCCAACTTTGGCTCCTCAACGGCAGCATTTTCGAAATTTGACCACATACAGAGCGATACGGGTGTTGCGGGAAGCTCAACAGGGCTTTGGTTCTCATCTACAATTGGAGCAAGCGGTGGGTAGGAGGGTGTGAACCCGGCCGTGGTTGGTGTAACAATGAACTTGTCATCAGGGCCACGAGCCAGGTGCAGGTGTAGTGTTGATGGCGCACTTCTTGTAGAGAAGTATCCCCATGATTCCCGGGCCAACGACATTTCAGGAGTATCTCGATCTCCCTTCTTTCTGAACCATTTCATCCATACAAATATGCCTACTCCAACCAGACAGCAGACGCCAGCAACAGTGCCTGCAGTCACCGCTCCTGTTGGGTTTATACCGCTGCCCTTCTCCTCCTCTTCGTTATCATCTGGAGTGGTTGACTCCGTAGTAGAAGTCGTAGGATCAGCTGAGGCTGAGGGCGGTTGGAAAACCCTGTTAGGTACTTCTGATGTTTCGACTGATAGGATATCAGAAGTTGATGAGGATGTAGTTGTGGATGTAGTTGTGGATGTTGGAGCAGAAGTTGTGGCTGATGTATATTCAGGAACCGGGAGCAAGAAGGCATAGCTTTCGTCCTGGTCTTTGTCGAGTACGCATTCCTTATCGTTTTTGCAACTATATCCAAATGGACAGCATCTCCTGGCCCCGTTCATGGCGCCACAGCGTTTTAGTTTCCGATCTAGTGCAAGTGTTTTGACCTCAGCTTCTGGGTTCGTTGATGGGTTCTGTCTCTCGATGTTGCAGGTTATGGGCAAAATGATCTCGCACTCTCCTTTCGAGTTCTTTGGACAGCATAAAGCGG